GGGCTGGGGATTTAGCTCAGCGGCAAAAGCGCCTGCCTGGCAAGCGCAAGGTCGTGAGTTCGGTTCCCGGTACCGGAGAAAAACCAAAAAAAAAAAACAAAAACAAAACCATGGCTAGCCTTGCTTTGGGCCTGGGCCTTGGTAACGTTCACTATAATCTTTTTTTTTTCTTCAGTACGGGGAATGGAGCCCAGGGCCTTCACACTGAGCTACATCCCCACCCTTTTTTGAGACAGGGTCTTGCTAAATCTCTACCTTGCTCAGGCTGGACTCCAACTTGCCATCCTCCTGCCTCAGCCTCCCAGGGTGGTGGGATTTACAGGTGTGCACCACCACACCCTGCTCCTGATCATAATCTTAGTCTGCCTTGTCCTAGCCAACATCCATCTCAGCCCTTAGACTCTGAAGGCAAGGACAGCCCCCAAGCAGCCTGCCGGGCCTCGGAATGGATGAACCAGCGCTGCCTGTCTCTTCTGGGCCAGAGGGAGTGAGGGCTGCGCGCTTTGAAGACGGGGCAGAGGAACCCAGGAGGCTGTGGCCCGGGACAAGCGGAGGTCAGGTCTGCTGTGGGTGTTGAGGAGGGGCGGTCGCTATCCAATTGCTACAGCCTGTCCCGGGCGGGTTGGTTGTTCTGTTCTCTTTTCACCTCGTGTGGCCAGGTCTGCAGGTGCAATGTCTGCGTGGCTCCCTAGCCCCCAGCACCAGGCTGGACCCGTGCGGGTGGTGAAGGACCTCCGCAGTGCACACCCTCCCCCTGCTCCCCCATCTCCCTCCCACCCTCCCAGGCTTCCTGACATCCTGTGTGTGTGTGTGTGTGTGTGTGTGTGTGTGTGTGTGTGTTCTGCAGGCCAGCGAGGGGTCGCCAGCACCTGGCGGCGGAGCTGCGTCTGAGCTCAGACCGCCACGCGCAGCTGTGTGACTTCAGGCAGGTGGGCGTGCTCCTCTGGGCTTCCTCTTTGGGGAGGTGGGAGGACCCTGCCCACCCGGCCGGGATGGCAGCGAGATGACATGCCAGGTCGTGGGCGTTGGGCGGTGTGCACCCTCTCATCCACAGGCCAGCTGGGGCCACTCCTCCTCCCCGGCCTCGCCCAGTGCCCGCACCTGGCTTCTGTCTCCTTCAAGCTCTTCGTCGCCGAATTCCAAGAACCTAGAACAGTGCCTGGCACACAGTGGCTGGCTGGCAGGCAGAGGTGACCCATTCACCTCCCTGGCTGGGGCGCCCCTACTCCAGTGACCTGTCACGCTGCGGTGACTGGGTCACCCCCGCCGCCAGCTTTGAGGGCAGAGGTCACCGGTCTGGTCGCCCCACCCCTTCTATGTCAACATCTCGGTCAGGACACACACCGCGTCCCCGGGAGCCCCGACCCACGTCAGCGCCAAAGAAATCAGACAGGTCCAGCAGGGCCAGCTGCTGCGCTACGACCCGGGCTCCGGCTGGGCTCCAGCGCCGCCTCTAATTGGCTGTGTGACCTTAGGCTAGGGCACCGGCCTGTCTGGACACCTCAGTTTTTACTCTGTGTATGTGACACACGGACAGAGCCCTAATTACTCACCAAGAATTGTTCTAAGAACTTTACACACACGTAACCCATGTAATTCGCCTGGGAACCCGAGGCGCTGGGTTGCTAGGATCTCCCGTGTCACACATGACAAAAGGAGGCCCAGAGAGGTTGAAGGGACCCGCCCTGGCCCGAGGTCACACAGCACAGCTGAGCCTCCCCTTCCTTCCGGAGGGAAATGGCCGGGCTGTGCCACAGTCCTGGCAGGGACCTCACACAGCGGCCACCTTCCAGCTGCCGGAGACAGAGAGAGCCACAGGCCAGAGTCACACCGCGCCGGCTCCCACATGCCGCTGATGGCCCTGCGAAGGTGCGGTGGCAGGGACGAGCCAGGACCGCAGAGGGCGCGCACGGCCGGTCCCAAACACGGTGACCCTGGCTGCCGCCTGCCGCGCTCATCCGGACAGGCTCGGCCCTGGAAGGAGGGGGCGCCGCCCAGCAGCTCGAGCGGTGCAGATCAGGGCGCCGGGCGCCGGGCAGGCTGGTGGCAGCGGGGCCCTGATTCACCTCCGGGAGGAGGCAGCCTGTCCTGCCCACCACCCGGCCCCAAGCCTCCAGGACAGAGTCAGCTTCCCGGCCTGTCGGGCGAGGTGTGCCCTCACCCGGCGCTGCTCTGTGCTAGTGGGGTTCTCCCGCGGCCCGTGGGCGGGCCTCACCCACCGAACACTGCGCCCCTGCCGGGCGGGACCCTCAGGATTGGCTCGGTGGCTCCTCCCCACCTAAGCCTCGGACCGGCCTTTGCCACAAGCTGCCCGGACGCCGCCCAGGGCAGGGACGCCTTATTTTCCTCTGTCCTCGCTACCTGCTTAGCAAAGCTTTAACCCAATTGGCCAAATTTTGCTGAGCATCAAGGGACTGAGGATCCGTGGACAAATGTCACAGTGCCTGTCCCCAAGAAGCCTCATGTGTGTCATCGTCAGGTGGGGTGGAGCCGGTGTGGGCTTCTGGGCCTGCTGGGCAACGCCCCCCGGCGTGAAAACGGGCTCTCCTTACCAGGACAGGACGGCGTCGCAGCCCTCCGGGCCCCAGGCGCAAGCTCACTGCCTGTTCGAACCTCCGGCAACAGAGAGGCGTGGGGCCTCAGGGAAAAAGGACAAGTGACTGCCCCGACGGATTGTCTGGGATTTGCAGGGACACCTAGGCTGGCCCCACAGGACAGAGTCAGTGGCAGGGGAGACAGGGGTCTTCTTCCAGGCAGGCTCCTGAGGTTTCACACACTTGCCATGTTTGCTTATGCTACTTTAAACACAGCATTATAGATGCTAATGATTATTATGATATTGGTGACAAAAATGTATACAGTCCTAGGGATGGAACCCAGGGCCTTTGCACTGAGCTACAGCCTCAGCCTTTTTTTATTCTTTACTTTGAAACAGAGTTGCTAAGTTGCTAAGTTGTCCAGGCTGGGCTCGAACTTGGGATCCTCCTGCCTCAGCCTCTCAGAGTGCTGGCTGGCATGTGTGCATTGTCATACCCGGCAGCTTCTGCAGTTCTTACTGTGAGCCACATGCTACTCTGAGGTGCTGTACTTTGGTTAACTCAATCCTCACAACCCTATGAAGGTGTTATCAGGAATATGAGCCCATTTTACAGAAGTGATAACTGAGGCCCTGGATGCTTAAGCAGTTTGCTGAGTTTACACAGCAAATGAGGGGTGTGCAGTTGTACTGTCCATGCATGTGTGTGCAAACGATATCAAACTGGGTCATTCGGTGCTTTCCTTTCTCACTGGATGATTGGTGAGATCTGCTGATGCTGAGTTATCTGGCCTCACTGACTTCTTGCCTCATTTTGTTTTAAGAGGCTGCCCGTGCACTGTAGAATATATGGCAGCATCCCTGCCTGTGCCCACTAGATGCCAGTGGCTCGCTGCCTCTCCCAAATGTGACAACTAAAACCATTTCCAGACACTGCAATCTGCTAATTATCTCAGACAAAGCAGGGCTGAGTGAAGAACAAGGCGGGCAAAACCACTCTAGTTCACTTTTCTCTGCCATGTAATATATCACTGAATGAATGCACTGCAGGTTATTTTCTGTTCTCCTACTGGCACACTTTGTGGTTTCCTCTAGTTATTTCTACCATTACAAATAATGCTGAAGGAAAACTCTGCTCAGTTCCTTGTGAGCCTATGAGCAAGTTTTTTTTTTTCCCAGAACAATCACCTAGAACCACACAGCCACCAACTGCTTCCGGTGTATGAAAGTTTTACAGTCCTAGTGTCATCAAATTCACTAACCTTCTCCTTTATGGTTTCAGGGTTTGGGGACTTGCTTTAAAACTCTGCATCTGTCTGGAGATATCTGTGGCTAAAAGACCAAAGTACTGGGGCTAGGGGTGAAATTCGGTGAGCATGTTTCACGCTTTCATTTGCAAGCTGTGTAACTTTAAGGCAGCACGACGTTTTCTAGGACTGACACTTTTCTTCAACAGCTGCTGCTTCTAGGCAGCGGGGCAACAGATCTTATTCAGGGACATCCAGGTTTCTCCTCTTCAACAAGAAACCTGTTTTATTCATGTCATGAAGAAGAACAGTTAGGAGAGGCGATGTGCTAAGTGCTTCGCCACCTGCAAGCTCTGTCCAAGTCTGGGAAACGCCACACACTGGCCGGCACGCCGGGGGGACCAGCGCGGCGGGGGGGTTCCCAGCCCAGCACCGAGTGGGCCATTTGTCCCCCCATGGGGAGCACCTGGGCAAGCACTGTGTCACCTGCCATTACCCAGGGTTACTGGGCAGAGCCACGGGTGCCCAGCTCTCCCAGCAGGTCTGTCACGCCTGAGCAATGCCCTGGAGGGACCGGGTCTCCGAGTCAGGGTGGCGGGCGATGACATCATGCGGCTCACACCGGAAACAGCTGGCAGAGCAGGCCAGGCAGGCCCGGCAGCACCCGGGAGGACTCGTGGCCCGGCTCCCACGCCCCGCCCACCGCCTGCCAGCCGGGTGCCGGCCGTGGTCGGAGGTGACCTGGTCCCCACGCGGGAGCCCCATCAACTCCTCGAGGGTGACCCTGCGACCTCCATCCTCTCCCTTATCTCCAAGCCTGACACACGAGGGAACCTGCCAGATATTTCTAGAGTGGTTCCCACAATGATTTCCACGTATTTGCTACTTTTCCTTTGATATTTTCATCTCAAAGTGGCAGGTGGACGGGGAAACTGGGAATTATCTGGCTCGCGGGCGACAGGTCCTTTCAATAAACTTTTGACCTTGTCCTAATTCACTAAATGGCTATGCACCCAATTGGGTGTGGTGACGCACACCTGTAATCCCAGCACTCAGGAGGCTGAGGCAGGAGGATTGTTGCAAGTTCGAGACCAGCCTGGGCTACAAAGTGCGCTCAAGTCCAGCCTGAACTGCATAGCGAGATCCTGTCTCAAAAAGGCAAAAAAGAATTTAAAAAAAATCAAAGAACTTCCAGATAGCTTTGTTCCTTAGGGCAAAAATCTGTATATACTGTGCTCTGTTTCTTTTATTTATTTATTTTTTATTTTAAAGAGTAAAAGAAGAACAATAAAGCAGTAGGGGGATACACCAAATTACAGACAAAGTGGTAGGACATTATCAACGGTTCTTATTTTACCTATTGGTATCTTCAAGATAGTTTCTCAGGAAAACAAATGGACAAATAATAGTGAGTTACAGACAGAAATGGCAGGAAATTATCAATGGTTGTTGTACTATACCCTGGTGTCTCCAAAGTGGTCTCTAGGGAAAACAAATAGAGCTATACATGAGTGATCGATCAAATAATAATTGGCTATTCTCAATGGTTGTTGTTGCAACACATAGTAACAAACATCCATCCATTTACAAAACAGCATAGGAGCAATACAAACATTACAGAGTTATGGACAGATTGGTAGGAAGTCAGCAATGGCTGCTGCAATACCTGTTGGCATCCTCCAAGTGGTTTCTCAGGGTCTGTTTCTTTTAGATGGTCTTTGTTTCTACAGACTGTTGACTGTGAAAACAGGAAGGAGGACAAGATGATTTGCGAGTGATTAAAAGCCGATAGCAGGCCTGGTGGTGCACGCCTGTAACCCCAGCACTCGGGAGGCTGAGGCAGGAGGATCTTTGCGAGTTTGAGGCCAGCCTGGGCTACAAAGTGAGCTCAAGGCCAGCCTGAACTGCATAGCAAGACCCTGTCTCAAAAAGACACACACACACACACACACACACACACACACACGCAAAAGCTGATAGTCAGAGCCAAGCACCGGGGTGCCCACCTGTAATCCCAGCGCTGGAGGCTGAGGCAGGCTGAAGCAGGATTGCTGTGAGTTCGAGACCAGCCTGGGCTACATAGTGAGCTCAAGGCCAGCCTGGATGACATAGCAAGACCTTGTCTCAAAAACAAACAAACCAGCTAATAGTCATCCACTGACCGGGCTGATAAAGACGAGTGCCCACTGCGTGCCAGGCACCACGGACACAGACAGCAGTTTAGGACGCGCAGCCCTGCGCACGGACTTACGCTTGCTGCGTGCGGAAGGCCCCAGAGGCCTTCACTCCTCTGATCTTCACAACGCGAGGCGAAGCAGCTTGCTCAAAGGCTGTACCCATAGCAGACAGGGCCCGCGACTGGCACTCGGGCAGCTGGTTCTGGAGCCGTGTCCCCGTCTTCTCTCTTCTCCTCTGAGTACGGGGCTGGGCAGCAAGCGGTGAGGCGGTGGAGGCCGCGGCGGCCCCGCGGCACACAGAAGGGCGCAGGGCGTCTGTGCCGGGCTGTCCTCGCCGCACCCGGGCGGATGGGACGGGGGTGACGTCCAGGCTGAGCAGAGGAACAAATAAGGCAGCCCGGGGGCGGGCGAGGGAGAAGGGCGAGGGCCCGGGGCACGCGCAGAGGCAGTGAGGGAAGGCGACAGCGAGGCTGGCTCTGCTTTCGGAGCAGGACAGGAGAGGAGGCAGAGGGCGCGGGAAGGCGCTCCTTGCCTAGGGGACCCCGGCGTGCAGCAGTGTCCTTTGGGCTGAGGCGGCCTGGCGGCAAACGGTCCCCACAAACGGTCCCCACCACCCTGTGCTCCCCACTGGCTGCAGAGCAAACTCACCCAACGCGCCCCTCGGGCCGGCCGTGGTACCAAGGGCCACCCAAGTGCGCGCAAGGAAAGCGCCCGAGTGGCCGCAACACACTGGGCCGCGGCTCCTCACGGCACCTTCCCAAGGACTGCTTAACATCGCCGGATTCTTGCCACGGGACATGCGGCAACACCTAGGGACACTTATGGCCACTATGGCTGGGGGTGACGCGCTTGGTTGCTGGTAGCCAGGGGTAGAGGCCAAGACGCTGCCTGACACCTGCAGTGAGCAGGAGATGCCCACCACAAATGAGCTCAGGGGCTGGGGGTTTAGCTCAGCGGCATAGCGCCTGCCCTGCAAACGCGAGGTCGTGAGTTCGATTCCCGGCACTGGAAACCGCCCCCCCCCCAAAAAAACAAAAAAAAACCCAAAACAACCCCAAAACAAAAAGAACACAAATGAGCTGACACCCGCGGAGAGACACCGGGAACGCGGCAGTGCCAGCCACAGTGCCCTGCTCCAGCCCTGGGGGCGGGTGGAACCATGTTGGCTGGGAGGGGAGACCAGGTGGGCTCTGCTTGCAGAGGTGGGCCAGTCCGGGCAACCCATTTCCGGAAGGTGTCCTCCTGATGTGAGAAGCTGGACTCGATGGTCCCTGGGTCACACAGATTTTAAAAATCTTTCTCTCTGGAAAAAGTTTTTCTGATGACAACAGAATTGCAGTTATAAATACAAAAAGGGAAAGAGTACAGAAATGGCGCCAAAGTTAGCGCCCACAATCCCACTTCCTGGAGATGGTTGCTCCTAACTCCGTGTGTCCTTCTAGGTTTCCCTAGCTACACACAGGTTGGGCGCTCCTCACCCGAAAAGCCCAAACCGGAAGCGCTGTCCTGTCCCAGCATGGAGGCAGCGCTTGAGAAGCCTTAAGTTTCCAGCTTTTGGAGGTGGGATTTTCAACCAGTAAAGTCCATGTGACTACTGCCAAATCCCAAACACTTTAGCCCAGGCTGGCCTCAAACTTGCAAAGATCCTCCTGCCTCAGCCTCCCCAGTGCTTGGATTACAGGCGTGTGCCACCACGCCCGGCCCCAAACACTTCTAACCCACGCATTTCTTGTGAAAGGGGCCTGGCACACTACAGTTTCCCTCTTCTTCCTCCCACATAGTGTCTCTCCACCCCCTCTGGCTGGGCGGTACCACACAGCACAGACGTCTTCACCCAGCAGGTCCCGACCCTTAGGGGCGGGACCCTCGGTTTACTATCACAAAGCACGGGGCTCTGAACCACCTCTTACCTTCTCCTTTGTGCACTCGTGTGCAGCTCTTGAAGTATAAGTGGTAGGTTCAAAGGATATGCACATTATTAAAACATCTGAACTATAAATAAAAGGGGGCCTTCGTTATTTGCATATTCGTGAACCAAGTCCTTGCAGGGACCAGACTGCAGAGAAGTGAAAGTCCTCACAAGGAGGAAACGTTCACTAATGCACTGACTTCTCAGTGAGTCTGCCCTTCTGGAGGACCTGAGCCCAGCATGTAACCGCCCTTTGCAGTCTAATCTTTTGTTGGTCTTTGTAAACATCAATAAATGATACAAATACAATGCAGATCAACTGCAGTGATCAAGTCTTGCAAATTAAACATGAGGCAGGAGGATCGTTGCGAGTTCGAGGCCAGCGTGGGCTACAAAGTGAGCTCAAGGCCAGTCTGAACTGCACAGCGAGACCCTGTCTCACAAAGACAAAAAAAAAAAAAAAAAAAGGCTTGCAAATGATGGGGATTTGATGAGGTTGATCGATAATGCTAGAAAGTTGCTCTAATCTTAAGCAATGTTCCTAGGCAAAGAAGGGTATGTGAGGATACATTTTTTCCTGGAGGTGGTGGTACTGGGAATTGAACCCAGGATCTTTTTTATATTTTATTTTATTGTATTGACTTTTTTCATTTTAAAAATTTTATTGATACATTTTATATATACACAATGACTACTATCATCATATGGAAATTGCACCTGGATTTTTTTTTTTTTTTTTGGTTTTTCTCCGGTACCAGGAACCGAACTCACGACCTTGCACTTGCCAGGCAGGTGCTTTGCCGCTGAGCTAAATCCCCAGCCCCACCCCCCCTTTTTTTTTTTTTGAGAAAGGGTCTCAGGCTGGTTTTGGACTATGTAGCCCATGCTGGCCTCAAACTTGGGGCAATCCTCCTGCCTCAGCCTCAACACTGGGAGTAACAGTATATGCCACCACACCTGACTGACGAGTGGTACTTACATAAAACAAATATCAAGAGAATAAGGCCCTATAGAAAAAGGATGAAAACTTCAATATGTCTTGCTAAAGTTCCCCCATGGTTGTTGTCAAAATGAAATGAGAATAGTTAAGATATTAATTTCAGGCTGGGGATATAGCTCAGTGGCACAAGCGCCTGCCTGTCAGGCACAAGGTCCTGAGTTCGATTCCTGGTACAAAAAAAAAAATTAAACGTATTAATTTCACTTTAAAAAATACCTGAATCATTCTTTATTCATAATACATATTTGAGAATATGAACATGCTTCAATAATTTTATTTTCATGATAAAAGTCACAATTAACTGAGGTGTACAGTGGTGTACATCTGTAATCCCAGCACTCTGAGAGGCTGAGGCAGGAGCATCACAAGTGTGAGCCAGGCCTGGGCAACTTGAGCACTTAGGAGGTCCTGTCTCCAAAAAAAAAAAAAAAAGTTCCAGTCTGATTTCTTTTATGCCCCACCCCATCCCACTGTTTAGAATGAAATTCTGGGCCCATTTTAAGTGGGTTCACTTTAGGTCAGCTTTTTCTGGTGTGAGCTCTTCTTGGGCTTCTTGGCCTGCGTCTCACAAGCCTGGAAAGAAGGCTGTACTCATGACTGGTACTGGAAGGCAAAAAGCTCCCTATGACTGCCTGAACTCCACAGGAGCTGCTCCTCCTGCAATGCTCCAGGCCCTTTCCTCTCACCTTCCTGAGAAGTCACCGGAGCAGAGAGAGGTGGTGCATGCCTATAATCCCAGCTACTTGGAAAGCTGAGGCAGGAGGATCATTAAAGTCAAGGCCAGCCTGGGCAATTTAAAGAGGCTCTGTCAAAATAAAACATAAAAATAAAAATTGCTGGAGCAGGTAGTTCAGAGCTCTCTGGGTTCAGTCTCCAGTCCCAAGGAAAAGAAAAAGTGGCCGACGATAGGAAGAGGGTCTGTGGCTGGTTTGCCTTTGATCACGGCTGTTATTCCCAGGTGCCAGGGGAGGGCCAGGCAGCCCAGGACAAAATAGCCAGTTGCAAGCTCTCAGCCTCCTCCACGCACTGTTGGGTGTCATCCCTGTGACACGGAAAGGATCTTTACAGCTCACCAGCACAGGCCCCGAGGACTCACCTAGGAGACCCAGTGGCCCTTTAATCCTGGCGTGCAACCGTGCATGGTGGCGCACACCTCTAATCCCAGCATTTGGGAGGCTGAAGCAGGAGGACTGTTGTGAGTTCAAGGCCAGCCTGGGCTACAAAGTGAGCTCAAAACCAGCCTGAACTGCATAGTGAGACCCTGTCTCAAAAAGACAAAAAAAAAAAAAAAAAAAAAGAAAAAATCCTGGCATGCTTTTCAAAAAGCATTTTCAAGGGCCATGAAGACAAGGCAGTCATAAAGTACATTTGCCCTACAAACAGTATGCGGAGATACGCACACACCCAACCTTCACTTCGCTTACAGTCTTCGCATGTCCAAGCTGAAAGGAACTTAGACCTCATTCTACAGAGCAGAGGAAGCTGGAGCCAGGCCACCGGCATCCGTTTCCCAGGCCCGTGCTGTCGCAACTGCTCAGTTCATCGCACACAAAAGCAGCCACACAGACAAGGTATAAACCAATGTGCGGTTAAATTCCAATAAAACTTTATTGATGGACACTAAGATTTGAACGATACATTATTTTTCACATGCTACAAAAAATATTCTTCTTTTAATCTTTTCCAACCATTTAAAAATGTAAAAACCATTTTTCAGCAGGCTACACAAAAACAGGTGGCAGGCTGCATCCAACCCTGCCCTGGGCCCTCTCAGCCAAGTGGAGTAGCCCTGCCACTTAACACTTGGCTTATTTGCTTTTTGCTTTACTCACCCACATCAAAGGCCCAGATTCTATTCACCAAAGACACAGCTACGGAGCTCTATACATGTTTTCTAAATTTTAGGAATAGTAGGATCTGCCAGGTCACAGTCGAAAAACACTGATACAATGCCATACTGTGTATTAAATTAAAACAATCAAGAGAAAAACATAACAAATTTGAGGAACTCACTGAATTTGAAAAATAGGCTTTATTTTAACCAGTGGTATTGTCTGACATCCTATACGGCGTAACTGATTACAGCCCGGTTCACGAATACAAATAAAATAGCAGTTTCCCACCGCCCCTGTCGTTCCCTATCAGAGGATCAGGAGAAGGGGTCTTCCTTGGCTCCAGCTCAGAGTCCAGGCTCCTGGAGCACACGACCTCCTAATGTGTCCACGGCCATGTGCAGAGACCTTTCTAGAAGGACATTCAGAGCGGTATGCCGGCAGGCAGTCACACTAGCATTCACACTGAACACGGTTGATGACATCCACCTTGCTGTGGCTGGTGAGGGTCTGCGCTGCGTGAAAGGAGGTGAGGCCTCATGCTTGCTTTCCTTTGAGGGAGAGGGTCCCAGGTGAGGGGCTCACCCTCCATTGGCCTCCTTCCTTTCGGTTCAGGGGTTCTACCCTGTCTCTCTGGAGCATGTGTGCCCCTGCCCTAATACAGAATGGAGACACCTTGGCCTAAATACAAGATCTGTCACACAGCCAACACTGGAATTGGCTTTGCACTTTTTTATTAACACAAAAGGCTTAAATATATGGGCCCTCGTGTAGCACGAAATGCCTGAAGTTCAGAAAGTTATGAGATTAATTCTTCTCCACCCCTGAGCACATTTCATCTTTATAAAGGTGAACATACAAAATATTAAAATAATTTGCCCTTTTCTTCCCACCAAAAGGAATCACACTCTCAAAGGACCCTGTGACGTACAAAATTCTGAGAAAATTTATTTCCGCCCCCCAAACCAAGATCAAAACATCAAAAATCAATGGTAAGCTGCCAAGAAGACCCTTTCCATAGAGGGGTGGAAAAGACACCTTGTGACTTTTTTTTAAAACCATATTTAGAGAAAGATAGCAAAAGGAGCTTCTGACCTCACAATCTTTAATTTTTCCACTTTGATTTCGAGCATTTCTTAGCACTGGGAGTGAAGAGGACATTCTGTTTCCCAGAGTCGGGCTATCCCTGGGCAAAGCCCCGATCATCTCCCTGACAGCTCTCCAGTTTGCTAAAAATCCAATGGCAAGAATGAAAATGCTACCCACCTACGCAGCCCTCTCTTTTCACACCAACAGCACCTGGAGTATCAAGTGTGTGCGACACAAGTGTTGGGGCCGAAGAGAACATGAAGTCCCCCTCCCTGCATCAGCTGAGGTGACTGGGGCTGGACCTACCCGAGAAGACTTCCTGGGCGGGCTCGCCCGGCCTAGGCCCTCCCAGGGAGAACAGGGCTGACGGCTGTGCATGCTCACACAACAAGGCGTGCAGCACACACATCCTCGCTCTGCTAGACACAGACAGCACGCGGGAAGCACACTGGACAGCAGGAACCTGCGCGTGCACCCTGAAGTCAATACTCAGGGACCTCTGCGGCAACACTTGGCAAGGATGCACATCTGAGCATGCGCGGACATGGCCGCCTCCGGGGGCTGCCCGGCGGCTTCCGGTTCGGTGACTTCCGGCTCGTAGTGGCTGTCCAACAGCCCTGCTACTTGCCTGGCTCAGAACTCAGCAGCTGCAGTCTTTGAACTAGCTACACTGACTTCTCTCCTCTTAAGGCACAGACATATTTACAGTTTCAAACATAATCTGTCAAGTTCTGAGAACCATACTGAGCAAGTTTATCACTGGCTCACGCACAGAAGCCGGTTGGTCCTTTTTGGCTGAACGCATGGCTGGAGGACCTCTGACACCTGAAGCGGCCAGAAGGTGGATCTCTGTGTATTGTGGTGTGTGGCCAAGACCAGAAAGGCAACGAGGCTTTCCTTCACAGGGGATGGAATCCCAGGTACAGGCCCCCGGGAGAGGCCAGAATGGCAAAAGCATAACTGGGATTGGAGGCATTTAATATTTTTTACTTTGCATCTAACACATTCCTAACAAGATGGCAGCTCTTGTCTGCCTGAGTCAGGAGAGGCTGCTGTGAGCGTCCATAACTCCACGTAACGTCACTGTAATCGTAACTGCTATTATGCTCCTATCCTTCCACAAAGACAGACATGCACATGCACACACTAACACGCACACACACACGCACACACACCCCTTCCACCATGGAGGAAATCTTCGCAACAAGAGGCACTTGAATGAGATTTGGAGAGTTCCCATGAAAAGGCCTTCCCCTCACAGTGAATTGGGATCGACAGGACACAAACCAGGCGCTCAGGACTCCATCTCTTCTTGGTCAAGGGGTGGTGGCACAAAGCTGATGACTTCATCATAGGTCAGGCCTGGAAGTCAGGAAGGAAAAGTCAGATGTCAGAGTTTGGACTCTCCCTCTGCTGGCTGCACTCTCACTTCTAAGTTCAAGCTCCTCCTGTCCAGGCTAGCGCCGCGAAGGGCTACTTTGACAGACACCGTGTTGCCTATGTATGCTGTCCATGTGGGTCAGAGGACTACACAGAGGTTGGAGGATCCATGTAAACGACCCATGTCTTCTCCTTTCCCTTGTCGCTGAGTGCCTCCTCTTTACAGCTCTCTGGACAAAGTGCTCAAGGATAACAGAGCACTCGAAACTGCAGGCGAAGGGAATCCTGGCTCTGGGGATTTAAGTTCTGAACTTGTATGCTAAGGAAAGAATATGAGATTGGACCTGGGAGATGTGGGTTCTGTTCCTGGCTGTGTCCCTGACTAGGTCTGAAGTAACAGGTAAGATACAAACTCTCTTTGCCTCAATTCTATCAACTGTGAAAGTGTAAAACACCCTATTCACTACTTATCTCAGACAGATGGCGCAAATGCAAAAACTCCAGAGAACCTGAAAGCTCTAGCAGATGTGAAGGGCTGTGCACAAAATCAGACCCGACATAAGCATCTCAAAGGTCCAGAGAGTCGTCATCTATAACAGACAGATTCCATTGGAGGAGCATACTCATTCGGCAAGAGCCCGACTGCAAGTGTTAGTGAGCTGGTTGGAACCACTCTGTTTTTATTTTTCTAATGGGTTTGGTTAGTGGTTCATGTAGAAAAGCTCTCCTTTTTCTTTTTGTTTTTTCTCTTTGAGACAGGGTCTTGCTATGTCATTCAGGCTGGCCTTGAACTCACTATGTAGCCCAGGCTGGCCTCTAACTCAAGGCAACCAACCTGCCTCAGCCTCCCGAGAGCTGCGATTATAGGCGTGTATCACTACACCGGGATAGAAAAGGTTTCTAAAGAGGAGTTCTCAAGGTGCATGTTAACACTGCCCTTAGGACTTACTTTTCCATTCATCTATGAGGAGGTCCCTGCTTTCAAAGGACTGATCGTAAGGATCAGCCACTGGTTCATCATCAGGATCGTGGTACTGAGCAAAGTAGGCGTGTGCAAGGGCTTGGGCTGCCGTGATTCTCTTATCCGAGTCCAATACAAGCATCTTCTCCAGCAGGTCAACAGCTATCGGTACCGCAGGTTGGAAGGAAAAATCAACAAGTTTTAACATGTTACAAAAAATAATGCTGTATTAATACGCAGACACAGTTTGATCCTTTGTGTCCAAGTAAAGAATTCTCCAAAGTATCTGCTCTAGGATATATTATCTTTACCCCACTTTGTATGTGTGTATTTTGTATTTTTTAAGAATACACCTAGGCACAGTGCTTGTAATCCCAGCACCGGCATATACAAGGTCCTGGTTTCAATCTTCAACACAGGTTTAAAACAAAGAATATATTGTGTAAGTACTGCATACTAACTCATTATGCCACTGGAGCTCCAAGAATATACTGAATACATTACTAAAGAACTGAAAAAAGCCGGGCATGGTGGTGCATGCCTGTAATCCCAGCACTCAGGAGGCTGAGGCAGGAGGATCGTTATGAGTTCGCGGCCAGCCTGGGCTACAAAGTGAGCTCAAGGCCAGCCTGAACTGCATAGCGAGACCCTGTCTCCAAACAAACAAACAAACAAAAGAACTGAAAAAAAAAAAAACAAACTGGGATTCTGTTTGAACAAACTTTTGTAGAATGTCAAACTGCTACCACTATAGTTAAGCCAAATCAAAATGTAAACCAACAGCTGAAGTAATCCGATAATCTTAAAAATTTTTTTGTGGTCCCCTTTCCCCACTATTTTAATTACTAATATAAGGGCAAATAAGCATTCATTGAACAGATCTTCAAACAAGGAACACAAGGAAGATTTGTCCATGGGGATATGTAGGAGACACTGTGTTGGGATAAAACATAATTTTAAAAACTTCACTATGAGAGCCGCCTGTAATCGCAGCACTTGGGAGGCTGAGACAGGAGGATCATTGCCAGTTTAAGGTCAGCCTGGGCTACAAAGTAAGTTCAAGACCAGCGTGAACTGCATAGTGAGACCCTGTCTCAAAAAGACAAAAAAAACCAAACCTCACTATGAAAACATTTAAATTTACAGAAACAGAAAAGTAAAAACAGTATAATGCACATCATATATGCTTACCATGCAGACCAAACAATTAACATTTAAAAAATGACATTATAAAAGATGTCACTTTATACCCTAAATACTTTAGCACAAAGACATCTTCTCATATAATCACAATATTTTTAGTATACCTGACAAATAATTGTCAAATCATTTAAAATTCTATTCAGTTAAAATTTTTCTAAGTATGTCAGACTTGTCTGTTACAAATGCCACACACTTGACTTGGTTTCTTTAGCCTCAATCTAGAATTATTTCTAATCTGCTTTTTCTTGATTTTGATCTGAAAAGATATTTCAATTGTCTTGAGAATACCCCTCATTAAGAACTGTCTGGCTGCTTTGTTTTTTTTTGTTTTTTTTTTCTGTTTTGTTTTTGTTTTTCTTCCGGTATCAGGAATCAAACTCACAACCTTGTGCTTGCCAAGCAGGCGCTTTGCTGCTGAGCTAAATCCCCAGCCCCTGTCTGGCTGCTTTGAATCCAGGGCTTTTGCACTGAGCGACACTTCTTCCTCTCCTCCTACCCACTTCTTTCTTTTTGAGACAGGGTTTCACAAAATTGCTCAACTGTGCAGTCTGGGCTTGAATCTGCAACTCTCCTGCTTCAGCCTTCCCGTGTTGGGGTTACAGGCATGTGCCACCAGACATGGTGACTTTTCCTCCAAGTCCTGGGGATTGAACCCCGGGTCTTTGCACCCAACCATATCCCCAGCCCTTTTAAAATTTTTAAATTTTATTTTGAGGCAAGGCCTCACTAAGTCTCCCAGGCTGGCACGAGATTGCGGCTCTCCTGCCTCTGCCTCCCACAGTCCTGGGATTGCAGGTACGCGTCAGCACGCCTGGCCGGCTGGTTGCTTCTCCGTGCGTTATGTACCTGCACCTCTGCATTCCTCTGTCCCCAGATTTCCCAAATGCGCTAAGAATCAGCCTGGGGAATTTTGGCACCGATCCATTGGGAATATGCTGTGTCCTCAATAGTGCATTCAAGCCACGTGTCCGCCGTTAAGGCGCTAAGTTTGACCAGCGGGCTAAGATGTTTTTCCTTCTGTCCCAAGCAAGTAACCTGGGGATATTTTGGCACCAGGAGAGTATCAGCTTCTTTCAATTAGGGCTTTTAGCCCCATTGATTTTCCTTCTCAAAAGCAGTGGTTTCAGTGGGAATCACAAAAATGATGGTTCTCTAGGCCCAGCGCTCTGATGGGGATGCTTCAGTTTCAGCATCGCAGTGCTCAGGAGGATAAATATTGCCATGCCCATCGTTCTGCCAAACAGAGACACTCTGGAGACCTGACCAATCCCTTCCTAAATGCGAGGGGTGAGGTAGGTGGGAAGAGGGAGCTTCCTGAAGAGTAATTCTGAATTCCAGAGTAATCCATGGGAGAAACGCAAAATGGGCCAGGCATGGTGGCGCATGCCTGTAATCGCAGCACTTGGGAGGCTGAGGCAGGAGGATCACCGTGAGTTTGAGGCCGGGCCGGGCTACCTATGCAAGTTCAAGGACAGCAAGTTCAAGTTCAACTACACAGTGAGACCCTGTCTAAAAAAAAAAAAAACAACAAATGATCAACAAATGTATTGACTCAAGATCCTAAGTTTACACTTCAGAGCACTGGGAGAACTGCCGGGATGGATATTCTTCTCTTGCAGGAAAAACACACCTTTCATTTGATCTTACAACTGAACATCTATTATGTGAGGGGCCTCAGCTCAGAGGTGAGAAAGGGATTTGTCAAAGATCTTGACAGATGCCAACACACACATCAACAAAGGACCACTGGAGTTTTAATTCAAGTTCTGAGAATAACAATAAATAGCAGTTGGTGACTGAGAAACAGAACTGCTGATATCTGTCGCTGGAGCACTGCGGCTCAACTAACATGCTGGGCACACGCTTGTAGCCAGTACGTTGCGCTCTGGCTGCCAAGCCAGGGACACTGTGATGTCACCCCTTGGCAACGGGCTGCCAGGCACATGTGAACCGAGACCAAAGCATCCGCTCTACTCGTTAGCAGTCTCTACTGCTGGGTGTAGAGTACCTGTCAGTGTTGAAGTATTAATGGTTCCGGAGCACGGGACGTGGGAGTCCTCCATAAGCTGCGGGCACACACGCACACGTCCCATCCCCCCTGAGAAAAAGAGTACCAAGTCTTTTCGAGTCGGTGAGTGGGGAGTCAGTGGGCACTGCCGTGTGCAGGGCCCGGATGGTGAGATCTCCAAGACAGCGTCCTCAGGTCCTTGACGCAGAGAAGACGGCTTGGGCAGAGCACGCAAGCCACACGATGCCCCATGCATCCAGGGCAGGGGCGACCAGGATCTGTTCCTGCAGAAGCCTCTGCACCCGGGAGGGGTCTGCGGATCCGCCCAGGACAGCAGCGTGACCCAGCTAAGATCTGCCACACGCCGTCTGTCCTCAAGGCTGATGCCGACTCACCCAGCGCTGCCCCCAGCTCGGGCGTGTCTGCTGTCGTAAGCAATCTCACAGCAACACTGTCTCCTCCTCACAGCCCTTGCGGATGAAGCTCTTAGAGCTAAAAGCACCTCAGCCGTTCCCCGCTTCTAAAGAGGCCACTGTGGCCAGTGGCCCTCGAAGCCCGCGCTGAACCGGAAGCGGAGAGGACCTGGGTGCCAGCCGATTCTTCCGGGTCTGCCGTCCTATGGCCGGGGACTGGAGCCTCAGCCAAGCGCTCCCCAGGGCCAGCGGGAGCCCTGCCTCAAGGAACAGACCAGCTCCTCTGTGAGCCAGTGTCGCTCCCCCGGCCAGGGAACCTGGAGGTGATGGGACAGCCATGCCTTGAGGTCTGAGGGGGATTACTCTGCAGAGGAGGCGGCTTAGCCTCTGAGGGAAGAGAGGCAGGGGTCAGAGCGTGAGGCTGAGGCTGAGGGCGAGGGTGCGGCCCCACACACGCCGGGCCTGCGCGGGAGCTCCTGCGTCGGTGGCTTCCACCCTCAGCTCGGGGCACCGCCCATCAGCAGAAGCTGCACAAGTCCCCGGCTGCCTTCTGCACCTCCTTCTCCTTCCCTTGTCTCCTCTCCCAATCTCCCTGTTATTTTCCCTTTCCTTTACCATACCGGCCTATTTCCCCATTCAAATTCTGCAATCATAGCATATACCTGTCACATCGTTCTAAAAAACCCCAAGAGTGACTGAATATTTAAAAGAAGACCCATCGATAGAAAGAACTCCCCAATGATACACACACGGGTGATAAATGCCATTATTTACCACATTCCAAGATTTCATTGCTGGTACCCGATTCAGTCAAACGGAAAAATGTCTTCAAACCCCTCTTGTAGTCACGGCCGATTTAAGGCTACAAAATGAGGACAGACCACCGACTTACCCAGGGGATTGGCACCAATAAATACATTTGCAAAGTTCATCTTCGGCATCTGGGTCAACGACTGAATGTAGTTTCTCGCCTATAAAAACAAGAGCGTTCAGAACGACTTGGTTTAGCAGCGTTGCGGTCTCTGAGGCCCGATCCTGCGGAGAGCAGAGTTAACCGGCGAAGTCCCCTCACTAACTCCCAGGCCGACGACCACCGTGCTTCTCCGTGGGCGGCTTCTCCCTCACGGCCACCCTGACTTTTGTATTTATTTATTTATTTATTTATTTATTTATTTATTTATTTTTTTTTTTTTTTTGAGTTTTCTCCGGAACCGGGAACCGAACTCACGACCTTGCGCTTGCCAGGCAGGCGCTTTTGCCGCTGAGCTAAATCCCCAGCCCCCGACTTTTGTATTTATGACCACTGTCTTTATTGCTGCAGTCTCTCCCAGTTCCATTTCACATAAACGAGACTGCTGACCAGTTAAGTGCATTCACTTTCTGGTGATAGAGGCAGACATCTGAAAACAGTGGTCGGTCAAGATATCTAAGAAGCAACCCTTTCTGAGAAACCCTCAGCTGCCACATTTTAAAGAGCTGAAAAGCGGCAGAGCAGCTGTACCGGGAAGCAGCGAGCACGGGGCAGGACGCGCGCGGCCGCGGCCCCTCTGCACGTGAGCACGCAGGTAAGCGGAAGGGAACCCGGAAGTAAGAAACCTTTCAAACCCAGAGAACAGCAACCCCTGAGATCAAGTTCAATCCAGAGACTGCTGAGCTACAGTGGAAATTCTGTAGAGCAGAAGCTGTTGGAAAGGACCTCTGTGATACTAGGCTGGTTTGTCAAAATATTAAGGGTACCTTAAAAAGAAGTGTCCCAGTCACCTCTGATCCTGGAACCAGAATTAGATTAAATGGTTAAGAGAGCACCTAGACCTACCTAAGTGTTCACATTTACTCTGTATTATTTGTGTCATTGCTTTTAAATACTCTACACCCATTGGTACTGGGTGTTTTATAATGTTTTCCTTTTAAAGAAAAACGCTCTTTCTGTCCTTACAATAAAAAAGGGAAGCACGCTAATAAACTCCAGTTAACCCCACCCCCGGCCAGATCACCACACGCAGGACACGGTGACCACAGGCTCAGCCCTGGGAGGGACACACATGCCCTCCTGCACTACACTCCAAAAACCAAATGCAAAAGGAGCAGCATTTTCCGTTTATGAGCCTCTGTGACATTTTCAGTCTCACAGATGGGATGACGTTCTATCCCAAGTGCGAACATCTTGCAGCAGCACGTAGGTGGTCACTGTCTTAGTCCCCCAGGCGCATGCAAGCATTCAGGGACATTCCACACGGTGCTGGTTAGACACAGGCACTAAAACGAGAACGTGGCCTTCCGAGCTGGCCAGCCCTGTCCAGTCTGGTTCTCACCTCATGGCTTGGCATCCTGTTAATGAGATAAGCAGGGGGCGTCCCCGTCAGTCGCATAATCTGCTGAAGCTGGTTAATATCTTAGATGCCTAGTCAAGGGCACTGTTAAACATATAGTGCAGAAACAACTTTCAACTCAATTAAAAAAAAAAGAAAGATCAAAAAGCTACCCCAAAACAAAACAAAAGCTCTCCTCTCCACCCACCCCAGGCCAGAGCCCAAGGCTGCATATTAAGGCATGCTTCGTGAATGGCAGGAGTTATTAGCCATGTAATAGTGAGTGGTCATGCAGATAAGAAAAATTAGTTTTCTCGGGTTTTAGTGTCACTTTACTGTTAAAATATTTTAGGTTCCCCAAAAACAGATTGCTCTTTGATCCAGGATGCCAGCCAGAGAACTGTTTTCAAGTCCTGACGGCCGAAAGTTGTCTGCCTGTAGGGTAAATATAAAGGACTGAGAAAATTTTTTGACTTAGCTTTGGACAAAATAAAATATCCAATACATCCATTCAGGAAGAGATTACGCTTCTGTGGCACAGGTTCGCCAAGGAACCCTCCTTCCAAATGAAGACGCAAGTGGGAGTGTGGGTTGATGATAAGCAACTCCAAGTTCAGACACGATCAGTGGGGCATTTCAAACACACGCCACAAACGTACAGCAGTAACTGAGAAAGGAGATGGGGTGAGGGAGCTGGAGGCTAAGGGCAAGGGCAGACTGGAGGCGCAGGCCGCCAGCAGGATCGCAGCACGCCGCGACGGCCACTTCTGCTCAGTCTAACGAGCGAACAGATCGCTTATCTCATAGCTGGGAGAAAGTGTGTGAAACGTTAAGGGCAGAACCGTGAAGTTTTCCTTCTGGACCAGCAGGTAAGCAAGCTGCCCTCTGAATTCTCTTTTAACTGTGCCTTCAATATTAACACCATTTCCCCGCCCTACAAACTGTAAGAACTGTTAGTTTATCATGCATTCATACTGAAAGCAGAAATGATTTTCTTTTTAAAAAAACTTCGACGTGATATAATCCCCCTTTCTGTTCTCAGTAACAGTTCTCTCCTTCAGCTGAAGCATTACCTTCCACACACACCACTGCCCAGCCAGTTCATGTCTCTGTGGTTTCCCTGAATGGTCTTCCCACTCTGGCTCCTCCTCTGAATGCAGTCCCTGTGTGTCTCAGGCTGGCCCAGGGATGCAGCATGCAGCCATCTTTCCTGCTCTGTAAGCCCTAAGACAGAGCCCAGCAAATTCAAAAGGTGCTGGTTTGTTATGGTTTAGATTTAAAGTGTCTCCCCCAAGTCTTCTGTGTTCAGAGGGAGGGGTTTGGAAGGCTGGATCATAGGGGCGCTACACTCATCCATGGATTAATACACTAACTCGTTCACAGCTGAATGTACCCTCAGAAGCTGGAGCCTGCTTGGAAGAGGTGGGTCGCTGGGGGTGTGACTTGGAAGGGTTCCTCCCTTCGCTCACTGTCTCCACATCCTGGCTGCCACGGGATGAGCAGCTGTCCTCTGCCAGGCCGTTTCTGCCTTGGACCCAACCAAACCAAACCATGGACTCAACCCTCCAAACCACAGCCAAAGTAAACCTCTCCCCCCAGGTGTCATCAGGTATTTTGTACCAGCAATGGGAAAATCACTAATAGAGTTAAAAAAAAAACAAAAAAAAAAAAACTCTTCAGAGTTCTTTTAACATCTCACAACAAACTGTAGATTTCCTTTTAAACAAATTATATACCAAACAGTACTTTGCATGCCCACAGAAATAACAGAGGAGGTTTACAAAGCAAATAAATCTCCACGGGTAGTTTACTGCTCAGGTTTTAAATGTTAGGATCCTGCCATCTCTCTTCCTTTCTGCGAACAGTTCTTGGCTTGTACATGTGCTGACTTTGCCTCCTTCAGTCAACTAAGTGATTATGTCCCCTTCCTGTCAGGAAGTTCGGAAGATTGTATTTCTAGAGAAAAGTATGAGTCAGGCTTTTGCTTTCTGAATACGAATTTTCGTTCTTTCACTTAGTACAGGTGCCAGGACAGCAAACAGACAAACGCTGTGTCCTTAGGCGTCCACCGTGACCACGCACCCCCTTGCCAGCACCCCCCCTTAGCCTGTTCCTGAGCCATGCTGCCTTCTCTTACGATGTCCCACTGCTTGTCAACCGGCCCTCCTGTAAATGCGGCATCGCTCCTTCTCAGGAGCAACGAAAACAGCTGTTGGCTTTGTGTCTGCTGGATTTCTTCACTAATGTCTTTTTAAATTTTTAAAATCTTTGAGCAATTTCACTCACCTGGCTTTACTACTTTTCTACTCCGTACACCACACCATCATGTGTTTTTAAGATGAACGGATACCTGGGCGGTGTCACCAACAAATGAATCTTGCAGACACTTGTGAATACTAAAAACTGCTTTTCTCAACTCACTGCAAAGACTCCTTTGCACCCCCACCCTCAGTATAGAGCTGTGCGAGCAAGCTCTGTGTGCTGTAGTCAGTTCTGCTGCACACAGCGCTGCACTAGGGCTGCTGGGACGCACCATGTTCCCGCCCCACCGCACAGCTCCCGAGGGCATGCACCCAGTGGTGGTTCTTTCTTACAAACAGATGATGGGTAATGATAGGCAGATACTGTTTTACCACACTCGGGCAGACGGCTGGGGCGAGAGTGAGCACACAGAGCTGAGCCTCGTAGTCATTCCCAGACCAGGAAGGGACCTACCATCTCAGTCTCATCAGCACCACTCGTTAATTAGCTGAGCTCCTTCCCAGCCCTCCCTCTGCCCCAGGTCCTCTTAAAAAGCCAATCTTCCTAAGCAGATGCATTAAAATAAAAAACAAAATTAAAAAAAAAAAAAATTAAAAAAGAGCAAAAGAAAAACACAAACTAAAAATACCCTGCTCTGCCTAACACCAGCTCTCTTATCTTTATTTACCCTAACCCAGCTTCTGTCTTTCCGGGAGCAAAAGAAAACATTTCTTCAGAGTGACTTCCGGTCAGTAGTTCAGACAGTGGCTTTCAGGAGGGTGTGCAACTGCACGGGATTATGAGATCGTGTCTCAGAGCATCTGGGGGCGATACTGGCCTCTGCCAAGTGACTCGGCGCATGACGAGGGCAGATCTCAGCTTCGCTGCGCTCTCGTTTCCTGCTCATAAGTAAACGAAACAAAAAGAAACAGGGCCAGGACACCCCTGCACACCCACTGCAGAGGGAAGCAGAAGACCATTCTGGGCTCTGCGGTCCGTCTCAGAGATGCAGGCTCTCTACCAGGGGGAGGGGTGCCCTGCGGGGGGTGGCGACCCGTCACACTCACCTCTGTGGCCCACCGCAAGCCCCCCAGCAATCGTCCCAACCCGGCTAAGGCCCCTCCCATCGGAGAGCGGGAAGGCGCATCCAGGAGGCACAGCTGGAGCTTGGCTCCATGCCTCTTTCTCCTCTTTGTCCCACGCCTTGGCCGCAGGCAGAGGGAAAATGAGCTCTTGTGGCTTCTCTCACGTCTCTGGCCTATGTGAATGACCCACAGCAGGAAACCATGGCCGGGGTAAGCCAGAGTCACATTCTCATGGCTTCTGTCTGAAGCCCAGTTTCAGGGCAGGAGAGCGCTAGCTCCGAAGGCTTTCCTCAGGCTGTGCGAACTGTCACTACCAAGGAAGGCCAGTGACCACAGGACACTCCCGTGGGGCTGCGGTACCAGGAGCTCTCCTACGTGACTGAGCGCTTGGGGGGTTGGTAGCCTGGTTGGGAACAAACACCTTCTACAGGATGTAGCACTGTCTAGTTCTGAAATAATGAAAAGCAAGTGACTTTGGAAAGGGGCAACCGTGTGTAGACAACGCACACCCCATTCTTTTAGTGATGAAGCGAGACTAATACAGGGTGAAGTCCATGTTCTCAGATCTAACACGAACCAGCAAGTGTGCACGGGTGCAACTTCTAAAAAAGATGAAGTCAGGGCTGGAGGACAGATGCAGACTTTCCATTAGTCTCTGGCAATGACACGGAATCTCCAATCTCCTTTTTACTAGACTACTATTGCCCAAGAGAGGCTCCCACCATCAAAGTGCATGCCCAGATGGAGAACATCACACACGCACATGCAGGCAGGCGCACACACGCACGCGCGTGCACACGTTCATCTCATGGAAGTCAGCACACACACACCACTCGCATGTGCACACACACACACACACACACCAGGCTCAGAGGACAGACTGACGGAGGGCAAGTGGCGGAGGCTCCCAGCAGGGCAGAGAATTACAATCAAAGCATCAACTCACAGACTCTGAGGAGATTTTCTTCAAAAGCTCAGCCCCTGGGGTTCCAACGAGTCTTAAAATGAGCTTCAACTGATCAATATCTAATGGTGGACTATAAAGGAAAATGTTGGGACAAAATAAAAGTGAACAAAACAAAACAAAACAGTAACAAACAAAAGGAAACAAAACCAAACAAAATACCCCAAGAACGAAAACTAAAAACCCAAACCAAGCCAGCATGGTCGAACCATCCAGGTCAAGGCTTCTGCAGGACGGTCACCCGCACAGGACGTGCTCCTCCTGTGTAAGGGTGCAAACAGCCGCCGCACGCACGTCCACCCGACGGTCACTGTGTACCGGGAGAGAGAAGCAACTTCAGCTGCGTCTTAGCTGTTGAGGCAGCGGATGGAAACGCAAAGGCCCCGCTCACCTACCTCCTCACCGTCCACCAAAGCGTCAGTAGCCAGTCAAGCAGGGAGCACTGGAAAGCGGAGGGCTACAGAGGAGGAAAAAGCGGCAGGGCACAGGGGCGCGGGAGGTAGTTTTTTTGTGTACATTCTCCTGAGCTGAGGCCCTGCACGCACCCCGTCGCAGGCAGAGCGCCATGAGCGGCTGTCTGCCGGCAGAGGGCGCTCTGCACTGCGCCTTCTTGCAGGAGACGGTAACAGAGCCGCTGAGCTCAGGTCTCCGCCTCACGCACACAGAACGCTTGGCGAACTGCGCTCGTCCCTTTTAAAGGCTCTTGATAGGAAGCCGCAATGCCCAAACTCTTCCGGGGGCCCACGCTTCCGTGTGCGCTCGGAACGTCTGTGCGTGTACTAAGCAGAAATGTTTTCCATTTGGGCTCAATGCTTTTAGTCTTGCCTTAAAAAAAAAAAAAAAGTTAAAAGGGGAAGAAAGATCGTGTGCAGACTCGAATAGTTCATCCGTATCTACGCTGACACTGGCGGGGGGCACGGAGAGCGGACACCGCCCCTGCGATGAGCCCCTTCTCAGCTCAGGCCTCCCCTCCGCTCTTCGCAGATCCCCCGGCCCGTCCTGCGCTCCCGGCCCCAGACGGACGCACCGCAGTGCTGAGGGTGTGCCATCCCCGCTGCCCTGCGGCTCCGAGGGCGCCGCCACTCTGCCTGTCCACCACCAGCCCCGGTGCTTAGCGTGACATCTGGCACACAAGGGGCATGCGGGGTATCTGAGAACACAGAACTGGACGGAAAACATTTTCTTGTTGTTGTTTATGATTGTATGCATAAAAGCAAGATGACATAACCGAAAAACAATGGCCTCTGCAAGCCATAGTTGCCTAAGCTACCGGAATTGCTGATGCAATGGGGTGACTGGCATATTGCCTTGTTTTGTTTTTCAGAAGCAAAATCTACTTAAATGGAAGAAAACTGGAGACAGGAGTCAGTCAACCCCAGCCTGCTGCCTGTTTTATCCGGAACCCTGTGCTGGAACACGGCCACGCCCGCCCATGTGTACACCATGGTCCACAGCCGCTTTCACAACCCGACAAGCAGATGGGCCAGAGACCTGACATGTTTCCTATTTGGTCCTTTAAGAAAAAGTGCACGGGCCAGGGATATAGCTCACTGGCATAAGCGCTTGCCTGGCAAGCCTGAGGTCGTGAGTTCGATCCCCAGCACCAAAAAAGACAAAAACAAAGAAAAGGTGCGCAAAACACCATACCAGACCTGACAACTGTGTCCTGCAGAAAATAAAGATACGGCAGAAACATGTCCACTCACTGAAGTTATTTCTAAAGGAAGAATTGTAGAAAAAATAGTCTTCTGCAAAAATCAGTGTGTTCTGAAGGCTAAAACTGTATTCCTGGTTTCTGAGTCCACAGTACTGACAAGAAACTTGTTTTTTTTTCTGTCTTCTTGAGACAGGGTCTCGCTATGCACTTCAGGCTGGCCTTGGGCTCACTTTGTAGCCCAGGCTGGTCTCGAACTCACAAGGATCCTCCTGCCTCAGCCTCCCGAGTGCTGGGATTACAAGCGTGCGCCACCACGCCCGGCAAGAGACTTGTTTTCCAAGCATACACTCAAGGGGAAAGAGCAGGTGTGCGGGTGAGACAGACCCTGTCCTACTCTAACACATTCAGGCTCGTTATCAGTCGGGGGTCTTCCTTGTTCATTTAAAGTGACCCAATTTAGAACAATTTAGCTCCCTCACACTCTCCAGGAACCATAAGGAGGAACGTATGTGTCTCCTGTGAGAAAAAGCCAGACCACTTCCACCGTCCGAAAGAGGGTCTGACAATAGGTGTATCAAAATGATCCCGCCAATTAAAACTGTTGAAATTGCTGTTCTTATTCAAGAGGCCTCTTTCTGACTACCTGAGCAGAAAATCAAGTTTTATCCCAGCCCGAAGGAGGACAGAAACTCTGACAGTCAGTTTCTCAGCAGCATCATGTCACCGCGACCTACCTGCAGAACACGCAGCTCGCAGGGGCACAGCGGCTCCCTGCCCCTCAGGGAGGCGGGGGCCGGTGTCTTCTGTCCAGCCACCAGTACGGAGCAAATCTCACCTTGAACAAGCCCAGTGCCTCGGCCCCGCCTCCAGGGCCCCCCAGATTTGACATCAGGCTTCTTTCCTGACTGTGCCTCTGCCTCCCGCTTCTGAGTACACACACCACACCCAGGCGCCTCTGCATCTCCGAGCGCCGCGGCTGCACGCTGCGAACAGGAGCACCATGCCCTCCCGCTTTGTGCCGAGCCTGCTCTCTTCCTAGGAACCTGCAAGAGCCGAGCGCTGGCCAGGCACAGGCCGGCTGCGATACGCCTTTCAGTTCCTCTCTACGCCAGAGCAACCATATTCCACGCAAAGGTTACATACAGAGGAGGAGCCTGGAAAAGTTGCTTCTTTTAATACTGGGCTTTGCGAAGTCCCCAGACACCCTGTTCCAAAACGTTCGCACCATAAAGAGGGCACAGATACAGCGCTGTGTGTGTGTGTGTGTGTGTGTGTGTGTGTCTCGGCCACAAAGACAGCCACCACTTACAAGCTTATGACCCAGGCGGTGAGAAAGGAACATGTACCGAGCAGCTAAAAGCACCCGCGTGCAGACGTGAAAGCATGCAGACCTCAGCAGACATCACCACAAGCCCCCGAAAGTCGGCAGAGCCACTGAAGGATGGAGCTACACAAGCAGAGCAAAGCAGAATTTACTACAGTACGACACAGAGCTACTTCTGCACCAAGCCATCCTTTGTAAATGGGCTCAGCCCCTTCTTCCCTAGTTAGAGGATTTTTTTTGTTAGTTTAAGGTGCATTTTTATTGTAATGATCACAATTTCTCTTTTTGGGGGAGGTACCAGGAATTGAACTCAGGACCTCGTGCTTGCCAGGCAGGCATTTGCACAGCTGAGCTATATCCCTAGCCCCATAAAATTTCTGATACTATTAGTGTTTGTTTTTTTGCAGGCAAACTCTTGCTATACAGTTCAGGCTGGCCTTAAACTCACTATGTAGCCTAGGATGGCCTCAGACTGCAGCAATCCTCCCGCCTCAGCCTCCCAAGTGCTGGGATTACACATGTGTGCCACCACATCTGGCTAAATTTTAAAATAGTAAATTTCTTTTGTTCTTTTTTTTTTGGTACTGGGAATCAAACTCACGATCTTGCACTTGCCATGCAGGCGCTTGTGCCACTGGGCCATATCCCTGGCCCCTAAAATCATAAATTTCCAGTGCCTTTCTTTTTTTTTGTCTTTTTGAGACAGGGTCTCGCTATGCAGTTCAGGCTGGCCTTGAGTTAATTTTGTAGCCCAGGCTGGTCTCCAACTTGCAACGATCCTCCTACCTCAGCCTCCCGAGTACTGGGATTACAGGTGTGCACCACCACACCTGGCTCTAGGGCCTTTCTAAAACAAATGAAGAAAAGCATGACAAATTATGTCTAAGATTACTTTTTAGATCAACCTGTTTATAACAGAAGCAAATGGTAGTCAGGATGAGCAGGTAAGGGGAAAAAGATGAAAAGTAATGGAGCCATCAGAGCAAAGTGAAAGAGGGCTATCCCAGTGCCTGAAGAGTTCCTCGAAGGCCCCACAGGCCAGGGAGCAGAGCAACGGGCAGCAGCAGGACCTACGCTGTGAGCAGCAGCTTTCCCGCAGACATCTGGGAGAGAAGGAAGCCCTCCTTGGGGACAGGCGGGTGAGGCTGGAAGGGACCAAGCCAGTTTTCTTCTCCTCTGGGTTGTCAACAGTCATTTTCACTGCCACACACAAAACACTTCTTAGGGTAACCTGAGTTTGTTGACAAATCTGAGAATTCTAGTATTTTGTGGAAAAATATATTCTCAAGTTAGAGAAGAAAGTAGGTAGCGGGGCGTGGTGGCGCACGCCTGTAATCCCAGCACTCGGGAGGCTGAGGCAGGAGGATCGCTGTGAGTTCGAGACCAGCCTGGGCTACAAAGTGAGCTCAAGGCCAGCCTGAACTGCATAGCGAGACCCTGTCTCAAAAAGACAAAACAAAATAAAACAAAACAGAGCAAAAACTAAACAAAAGCAAGTAGGTAAATGAATCTAACAAAGTGTGTTTTCTTTCTCAACATTCATTAAGATACTTGCTTTTAGTGTCTATAGGGAAACTGCTTTTTTTAAGACAAGAAAGAAGGTGTGAAACCAACAAGCGACAGCAATGGCAGAGGTGACGGGAGGCTCACGTTTTACCTCGTCGTCGGGGTAGGGTGGACACAGCCTTCATTAGATCACCTTTGTCTCGTGACTGCTGGGGTGCTTCATCACCTCGTGTGGAAAAGGTCAAAAGAGGAAAGGAGGGACAGTGCGACGAGGGAGCCAATCTACAAGCCAAGGCTGTGCTCCGAGGTAGGGAACGCCGCGTCTGGCGTGTTAACAGGGCTGCAGGTCTCCTTTTCTTCCTTGTGTGTGCTGCGGTGTCAAGAGTCAGTGACACTTTCTGACTCACTCACGTCCAAGTCAGTGCCATGTGCACTAAGATAGGGCCAGGGATAGAGCTCAGCGGCACAAGTGCCTGCCTGGCCAGTGCAAGGTCCTGAGTTCAATTCCTGGTACCCCCCAAACAAAAAAATTAATCTGAACTAAGTTAGCACCACACCTCGGAGACAGGCCATCCACCTCCGCCTTCCCTTCCAGTTCCGAGTCTGTCTGCCGGGCTCCTGGACAGGGTGGACAGCCGGCCTTCGAGGAAAGGCCCTTTTCTTCACAGAACAATACCAGCATTAAGCCGCGTGGAAGGCTCCCGCAGTCAGAAGCGTAACAGTGCCGATGGTCATTCAACATCGTGAATGTGATTGATGCGACTGGATTATAAACTTAAAAGTGGTTATACGTGATACATTTTGTGTTACGAGTATTTTCCCACAATATAAAAAAAAGTGGTAAATTTTATATTATACGTACTTTACCACAAAAACATTTTCAAGTCAGTTTCTAAGTTACACTAACCATATCTCAGCAGCCACACAGGCCAGAGGCTGCCAGATGCCACACTGGACAACAGCGATAAAACGTGCGCAACACCACCAAGTGCTACTGCGAGTTTCTGTCTAGGAGCTAGGACAGGCACAGTGTCGGCAAGGGAGGGAAACGCAGAAAACGAAGAAGCACGCCACCCAAAAGCACCCTCTGGAGGCTGCCTCTGTGAGGAGGTGCATCTAAAAATCATGAATAGTGTGGTTGCCTTTCGAGCCAAAGCAGAGGGTGTGGGGCCAGCAGAGGCTCCAGAGGTTTTGAGCAAGGAAGCTCTGTAGGTCAGGATAGTAAGGATTAAAGCACTGGAAAGAAATTTCCTGATCCTGCTGGCACCTTTGGGAAAAATGATGAAAGACTGCTCAAGTAACTTTTCAGGATCAGCCAAGATTAAAACTAAATTCAACTGAATTAAACTCTAGCCAGGCATGGTGGCGCATGCCTGTAATCCCAGCACTTTCTCAGCTCGCAGGAGGCTGAGTCAGGAAGATCGTTGCAAGTTCGAGACCAGCTTGGGCTACAAAGTGAGCTCAAGGCCAGCCTGAACTGCATAGCAAGACCCTGTCTCAAAAAGATAAGCAAACAAACAAACTCTAGCTGGGCATGGTAGCACACACATGTAATCCTAGCACTCAGTGAGGCTGAGGCAGGAGGATCCCTGAGTTCGAGGCCAACCTGGGCTACATAAGCAAGTTCAAGGTCAGCCTGTACTACACAGCAAAACCATCTCAGAAAAACAAACAAACAAAAACCTCTAGTTGTTCTCAAACTTGCTGCACACTACAGTCACGCGGAGTCGGCCTCAATACACCCAGCCCCTACTCTGACACTCGCCTCCTACAGTGGAGTCCTTGGGGTGTGGTGGTTCAGGCATCCAGAGATTTTTAAATCTCCCCAAGGTGACTGTGATGCACAGCGGGGGTTAAAGGCACTACGCTAGAACGATGCCCTGCTCTGCAGGCAAGAAAGACTGCTGGGCAACGCTTCCTTCTCTCCTGTCCGGCAACCAGCGCTGCATCTGTACAGATGGCGACAAGAGGGAGGCTAATTACCCTGCAAACACAACCCCGCTCACTGGGTTCCTGCAGCCCAGGAGGCCAGGCAGCTGGACAGAGCTGCGTAGCAAGTGACAGCGCGTCGGTAAAACCAGAATTTTTTACATGAACTCTCACTGATCAAAAATGAATTCCTTATTAAAAAGCGTAAATGCGAGTTTGATTACCTCAAGTTCACAGAAGAAGGGTGCACAAAGGAAGTATTCCTTTTTATTTTTTCCTTTTTTGCAGTCCTAGGGGTTGAACCCGGGGCCTCACGCATACTAGCCGAACGCTGTACTGCTGAGCACCTGCACCCCAGACCTTTTCATTTTTTACTTTGATTGGACAAATAAATGCCTGTATCTTTTTCTGGTACCTGGAATTGAACTCAGGACCTCGTGCTTGGGTGCTTGTGCCACTGAGCTATATCCTCAGCTTATTTTTTATTTTGAGACACGGTCTTGCTAAGTCACCTTGGCTGGCCTTGAACTTGTGATCTTCCTGTTTCTGGAGCAGGAAGTATTTCTTCCGGGTTAAAAGCATTCTAACAGGGTCACGCCAACAGGGAGGACACCGAGCCATAAAGGCGCAAGAACCGCGGTGCTCTGCAAACCGTGTACTGCTAACCGGCCAAGGGGGTCTGTTCTGTGCTACCTGTCACACAGACCTTTTCTTTACATTCACCATTAACGACTCACGAGCCAGCAGTGAAGTGGGGGGAGGGGGAAAGACCGTTTCCGAGGCCAGTGAGGAGGAAGATGCCGGCATTTCTCGGAAGGTCTCGGTGTGAACGCTTCCCAGACATTATCTCGCTGAGTTCTCACAACGGGCTCCTGAGTTATGTGCTGTGATTATTGCTTTACGGTTACCGGAAACTGAGACAGAGGTTGGAAAACTTGCTCAAAGCCACCAGCTGGAGGTACAGGAGCTACGACGGAAACGCAGGAAGTCTGACTCCGGGGCCTGGGCTCCCGAGCCGCGGGGACGGTGTCCGCGCCCGCCTGTGTCGGGCGAGGCGGGCAAGCGTGGCCGGCGCTGAGCAAGCGGGAGCCGGAGGTGCGCACAGCCCGGGAGGAAGCGGGGCGGGGAGAGCCGACAGGGCGGGGCAGCACCTGCTCCAGAGGACAAGCCCATCCCGAACTCTCTCAATTGAAACGGCAATCCGCACAGCAGGTTTTAAGAAGCAGGTATAAAATGAAGGAAATGAAGGATAGGGAGAGATACCAGGTGTTAAATGACTTATAATGAGGGGGGAGTAATAAGGTGAGCTAAGCAGAGCGAAGCTGGATATAAAAGTAGAGGGAAGCTGAGTCAGTAAGGTTCTGAGAGAATTAACAGCATTACCTGAGGAACAGAACTTTCTCGGTTCCTGGGGGAAGTACACCGTCCCCAGGAGAAAGAAGGCGGTAAGAACAGCAGCGTGAGGGGTCGCACACAGTCGCAGAAGGACACCCTAAGCTGTGAGCAAGTACACTGATGTTGTGCCTTAGAAACCCATGGCTTTGCCTAGCAAAGGGGCTACCGCAGCTTGCAGCGCTCCCGAGCGACAGAGAGGTTTCTAAAGCACATCCACAACCATCTGAAGACCGATCACCCGAATTTTACAAAAGCCCCTCCACCAGTGCTACACGTACATTTTAACGTTACTGCTCCCTAACCCCTTTCCCAAAACGGAACTGGTGAGAGTTCCAACAAATCACATTTTGATGACATCAGGACTCAGCCAAGATGCTCGCACACAGCAGAGAGGAGACAGGCTGGAAGCCAGACTAGAGTCTGGTGATAAACTGAGGTTTGGATGCAACTTGGGATAAAGCTCTGCTTAAAAACAAAGGCATATGACAGGGTGACCTTCTCACTTCTTGCTTTTACTGTTTGTTTTTTTTTGTTGTTTTGTTTTGGTTTTTTTGTTTTTGTCTTTCTGAGACAGGGTCTTGCTATGCAGTTCAGGCTGGCCTTGAGCTCACTTTGTAGCTCAGTCTGGACTCAAACTCGAAAGATTCTCCTGCCTCAGCCTCCCGAGTGCTGGGATTACAGGCGTGCGCCACCACGCCCGGCATTTTTACTGTTGGCTGTTGAACAATAAGAATTACAAGAGTCACAGGTAGGTGACCACTACAGGGACCAGCTCTTTTGGGACGTGAACCAAACGTAACAGGTAGATACCCTGGATTCACAGGCGGGGTCTGTGCTCACTCAAGGTTTGTACAAGTAGACTAAACCCGTCACTGGGATCCAGGACTTCTCACGAGTGGGCCTGCGTCTCAGAGCTGTGTGGGAAGGGTACTGTGATCAGGGATATGGTTGGTCAGACTGGCACACGCAAGGGGTTTTCAGCCTACGACAAGTTTTTCCAACTCAGAAATAAACTAAAGGCTTCTTCTTGGCAAGGTAAGCTACTCAGCAAGGGCACGGACCTCATCAAGAACATCTGGACCATAAAAGCAAGAAATGGAGAGTCTTCCCTACAGGGAAGTAGAGGCAATTCACATCCATGGACACTGGGATACGGAGAGAAAACAAGAATCCAAAACTTTTGAAAGGATACGGTCTGTACCGGGAAACAACGTTCTTCCAGTCAACAGCTCCGCCATTATGCACCCCACTGACCAGATGTCCACTGGCAAAAGCGAAGGGGAGTAAAAGTACAGAGGAAGAACACAAGAAAAAAATATGTAAATAAAATAAAAGTGCAAGCGTCATCATTACCACTATACTTGGTCACAAATGACACCACAACTAGGGGTAAAATATTCAAATTAATAGTTAGGGGGCTGGGGATTTAGCTCAGCGGCAAAAGCGCCTGCCTGCCAAGCGCAAGGTCGTGAGTTCGGTTCCCGGTACCGGAGAAAAACCAAAAAAAAATTAAATAAATAAAATAAAATAATAGTTAAGGGTCCACATCATACACACTTTCATAGAAATAAATAAGTTTATTAAGACTTTTGCATTATAGGTCTTTTTTTCTGGTACTGGGAATCGAACTCATGACCTCAGGCTTGCCAGGCAAGCACTTACGCCGCTGAGCTACATCCCCGGCCGGCCTTGTAGGTCTTAATAAAGGGATTCATTCATAGGGCCAGCAAAACATACTTAAGGTAAAATAAATAAGCTACTCATAAAGGGGCAAATGTTTTTTACTGGTAGCATACTATCTTCTCTCAAGAAACTTTTTTCTTTTCCTTTTTTCTTCTTTTCTTTGTCTTTTTGAGACAGGGCCTCATTATGCAGTTCAGGTTGGTCTTGAACTCACAACGATACTCCTGCCTCAGCCTCCCAAGTGCTGGGATTACAGGTGTGCACCACCATGCCTGGCCTTTTTTTTTTTTTTGAGACAGGATCTCACTACATAGCCCAGGCTAGCCTCGGATTCACTGTGATACTCCTGCCTCAGCCCGCTGAGTACTGGGATTACAGGCATGTGCAACCAAGCCCAGATGTCTCAAATAATACTGAAGGGTTAAGATTATGAACTCATTGTCTTTAGAAAGAAGTAATCAGGAATTATGTTGAAAATATAAATGAATAAAACCCCAACCGCTAAATCACGAAGTTTGGAAGCTGTGTATAGAAGCACCTTTCCCCATCTAAGCAAGTAAAATAACTTTCTACCTGTAGGCATGAAAAGGATCACCAAGGGAAGAGAGGTGTTTCCCCCACGCCTAGCACCACTACTTCTCTACCAAATTCACTCAAACTACTGAGAAAGCATGAAGGCCCGAGGCGGGCAGTACCTGTCTGGTTGTAATGCATCCAGTTCAGCATGATCTCGGGAGCCCTGTACCACCTGGTGGCCACGTAGCCTGTCATTTCATCATCCGTATGCCGAGCCAGTCCAAAATCGAGAATCTAAGAAGAAGAAGAGAAATGAGGCACTGGGACAGGCAAGGTGCTAAGACCTCTGCTGCAGGCAGGGAATAATCTGTTGCCCTATTAAGAAAGGAAAACAACACAGAGCTCTCACACGTGGATTTCCGGGCCCATGCTCAGAATGTGCGGTAAACACACTACTAGACTTTTTAAAAAATAAATTTCATGAAAAATAAAAACGTAATGCCTAGCTACAAAACAATAAAAATGCCAGGCATGGTGGTGCACGCCTGTAAGCCAAGCACTCAGGAGGCTGAGGCAGGAGGATCACTGCAAGCTTAAGATCAGCCTGGGCTACAGAGTGAGCTCACAGCGGGCCTGAACTGCATAGCGAGACCCTGTCTCAAAAAAATAAAAAAAATTAAAACATATCCATTCAAAGGCTTACACATAAATAGCCTTAGCAGCTTTACACAGCCCCAAAACAGAACTGAAGCAAATGCCCATAACAGGAGGATAAACTTGTGATATCCTCATGAAGTGGAATACTACCCGGTGATAAGACGGAAGAAACTATTGGTATCAATAACAATACAGATACAAAACATACTAAGCACAAGCCAGATACACAAAACTACGTACTACATGATCCTATTCATCTGAAATGCTAGGAAAGGTTAATCTACAGCATCAGAAAGCACAGCGGCGGTTGACCGGAGGCAGGATTAGGTATGGCCGGTGAAGGTTACTAGGAAGGGGGCCAGGGAACCTTCTGAAATGACAGAAATGCTCTTCATTATAACTGTGGCGGTTACATGGATATGCAAATTTGCCATAATGGTGTACTTTATAATAATTGTTCTTTAAAAGTTGATTTAAAAAAAATGAAACAAAAAGTTCCAAAGCTGTTTATTCTTCTATAGACAATTAATTGCCTAATTTCATATATGAATTATTCTGACCGAGTGGGTTTCTGCCTTATTCTTCTTAGGAATCTATTTAAGCTAATAATTACATAGGGTTGCTTACCTGGCATTCAGACTATAATTATCCTTTATGATAATTAATATATTACATTTCTAATTTTATTATATAGTGAAAACAAGATACCTAATGCCACTTTGGATGTCACTACAACAGCTTTCTCGGTCTACAGTTTAAATGTCAAAGTCTGACACTCCTTTTTTTTTGTCTTTTTGAGACAGGGTCTCGCTATGCAGTTCAGGCAGGCCTTGAGCTCACTTTGTAGCCCAGGCTGGTCTCGAACTCACAATGATCCTCCTGCCTCAGCCTCCCGGGTGCTGGGATTACAGGCATGTGCCACCACGCCCGGCACAGTCTGCCATTCCTGAGAACAATACAGACTTTCAGATAAAACGTCTTGGCTTGTAAATTCATTCCTGGTAAAAATGTGCCTGGTTAGTCACACAAATAATCTCAGGATGGACAGCGGCAATCTCCCCTGTGGCACTGCCTTACCTTCAGCTCACAGTCTTCATTCACAGCTAGATTGCTTGGTTTGAGGTCCTAGGAGCCAAGGACAGAGAGCACAGGGTCAACCGCGTGATGCGCGCCGCGTTACCTCCTCACAGCCGACAATGAGGGTGTCACATGCGAGTCAAGACCTCATCCCGCTATCCACGGACTATCTCCACCCGATCAGTGTCAGGCCAAATCAGGCACCACTTTCTTTCATCAGTCTAAACCCAGAGCTAAGTTGCAGTCAATCAATCGATCGATCGATCGATCAGTATCTCAATGGTTAAAGGTAGATGAAGATGCTATTCGAATGCCACTCCCTCCCCCCACCTCCCGCCAGGAGGGACAGAGCCGCAGCACATACCCTGTGGATTATGTCGGCTGAATGTATATACTGCGAAGAGAAAAGAGTCAGTTAGATCGAAGTTATCCCTGACCTCCCACTGTCGTGTTCTAGGACACAGGGGCACACTTTCATGCATCAGTGAGAACTGCCAGTGTCCGCAGTGCCCGTGGAAATCAGTATAATCGCCAGGGCTCTGCACGTTCACCGCGACTGTGAGTGACTTCCGTGGCCTCCCACTCCACTCACTTCAGCTCTTAAGCTATCTTCAGATCGGCACGCTGCAGCTCAGTAAGGACGCAGCGGTACTAAATATCGAAAATGGCTTACTTTCAAAACATTACCTGCCCCTCGCACAATTAAATTAGCTTCCTTGAGGAGCTTTTAAAGGCCTCAACATTACATGACCAGATACCTACTCAAGTTATTAATCTGCAGGTGTAACAGTGAGAAGTTCTGATCTCTCAGACAGGTACAGTGACGATCCACGGGTGAAAGGAGAGGGTGCCTAGACCTGCTTTCACAAAAACAACCCGTGGTGTGGGGAACACAAAGGCAAGCGTGGTCACAGAGTGACCGTGACAGCCCATTACACTCTGATCCCTTGTGAGTCTGAGTTTGAGCTCTCCATGAGAAAAGCTGTTTGCGTCTGTGCTTTAAGCCCTAAGTGGAAGGGAGGGGAGGAAGCGGAGAACTCCTCTCTCCAAAGCATAGCTGACACTGTCTGTACCTTCAGACCTCGGAGAATCTGGTAGATGAGGAACTGAACGTGGTCATCCGTAAGCTTCTGACATTTCACGATGTTGTTCAGATCTGCCCCCATGAGATGGGTCACCAGATACCTGCAAAGAAGAAGAGGGTTACACAAGCATCCCAACCCCAAGGGAAGTGCTTATCTCCTGAAGGCTTTCACAAGTTTGTAAGGAAATGCACCCAGTAAGTTCCGTAAGGACAGGTAGGAGCTCAAAAGTTTTTTACCGGCAAAGTCAGAAAAAGGGGACCTAGGGTCGGGGACATAGCTCAGTGGCACAAGCGCCTGCCTGGCAAGTGCGAGGTCCTGAGTTTGATTTCTGGTACCAGAAAAAAAAAGAAAGAGGGGGTTCATTTCACATGTGCCATGTGCTGACTTTACCACCTGTCATTGAACCTAAACATTTTTATACTCAGTCCTACTTGTACTTTTTCCTAGGTTCTCCAAAGAAAAAATGAAAAGGAAAAAGCAAAGGTAGAGGTTAGAAAGATGTATGTGTGCCGGCGACAGTTTTCTTAACAAAACATGTTATGTTTGCAGGAGAAATATATAAGACAACTAAGTGCATGGCCAAAATGAAGCAATTTATATTTTTAAACCCACTATTATTATATTTTCACTTTGTTACAAAGCTTCTCCACGGTAGGATCCCAAGTAGGAGTGTCTTTAGTTTTGCAAACTCTTACGTCTCCTTTTTCAGGAGTGACTAATAAGCGGGTATTGTCCCCTGACAGTATCCCGGCATTTACCTTGAAGGGAGGAGCACACTTGCTCGCAGGCAGGACGAGGCACTGCGGACTTCCCGCCACGGGCGTGGTCCTGGTTATTAACCCTCTTTGTGTGGTAAGATTAGGGAACAATTACATTCAAGCCCAACAGGTTCGCCACGGAAATTCTACACCCAGTGCCATAACCCGCTCGTTACTCAACTACACAGTGTGGGGACGGAACTAAGGCCAGGACTAAGAGGCGAAGTTTTTGAAGGTCAGCGAGGGTGCTTGCTTCCCCTCAAAGAGGAACTGGAGTTTTTCTCCAGCATAATTTCTCTGCAGGCTGCAGAGAAATTTCACAAAGATCAACAGGACGAGCCTTGCTGTAACCTTAGACCACAGGGTGAGACTTCAGCATTCTGTATTGCTGAGCTTCAGTGTTCATATTGCTTTGAGGAAAGGGTGCACTCTAGACGTAACTGAAGAGTGAATCAGCCTCCGAAGCGTTCCCCCCGGGCAGCTTTGCTTGGGGAGATGGTCTAAGCGCGGCCCAACCCAAAGGCAGCGGCACCCACCCTGTGCTGAGGTCAAGAGCGGAGAGCACGATCTTATCACGGCACACACTGCCTCCAAAGTCTCCCACAGAATTCACATCAAGAGAATGACCTCTTTAAAAAGCTTTATCAACCAGACACAGTGGAGCATGTCTGTAACGCTAGCACTCTGGCAGGCTGAGGCAGGAGGACCTCAAGCTCAAGCCCAGTCTGGGCAATTTATGGACTTGACAAAACCCTCTCTCAAAAATTTAAAAATGAAAAATGAAAAAAGGGCTGGAATATAGGTCAGTGCAAAGGGCCTGGCTTTAATCCAAAATACTTGGGGAGAAGGGTTATAAATGTCACAATAACTAGGGAAACACGATCTCAACAGTTTCCTTGATAATTCTCAATCCTTATTATCAGAATAATCTTTAATGAAGAAAAACTAGCAAGAACCTAGCATAACTGGGATGGGGGAAAGGAAAAACGAAGAAAGGGAAATATATATATATATAAGCTAAGATAACAGTACTGTTAATTTCTACTGGTTCACTGAAAGGAACAGTTAATGTTTAATTGTTTGATCAAGCTTGCATACCTACAGCTGGTAATCTGAGCAACTACTTTGAAGATAACAATATGTAATATAACAACCATTGTTAATTTCCTGTCATCTTGTTTTGAAATTCTGAATCATTTTTAGATAGTGTGTGGTGGTGCACACCTGGTGGGAGGCTGAGGCAGGAGGATCGCTGCAAGTTTGAGGCCAGCCTGGGCTACAAAGTGAGCTCAAGGACAGCCTGAACTGCATACCGAGACCCTGTCTCAAAAAGAAAAAAAAGGAAAAAAAGAAATTCTGTATGGTTTTTTTTTTAGTCTCTTTAAAATAAAAAAAGAACCTAGCATAATCCCATCCTAATCATAGTCACTACAGTTTTAAACCCCAAATTGGTACATTATCTGATAAATACGAGGATACTGCAAAAAACTGGTTGTTCTGAAGTCAGGAGTTCCTTCAAACATCTGAGGTAATGGCTGCCATAACCATAACGCTGCCTATGATCAATTTCAAGGCTCAGGCTGAAGAAGAAAGAACCCAGTTTCAGTCTTAGAAGACTACTCCCCCACTGCGTAATTTCTCTCAAACCCCTTCTCCATTTTACCTCTAAAATGGCCAGAATGAGAGGAGACTGTCATATACAAGAACAGGCAGGCTACGTGCTATCAACAGCGCTACTGCGCTACGGTGGAATCACCGGCAAAGCATTATTATTGGCAGAAGTGTCTGACAGGAATCCCTCTAATCACTATGCATTTTGTTTCCAGGAAGCCGCCGAATCAATACGTGACCTCAACTGGTAAATTCCAACCTCATGCATAGGAAGATTTCCAAAGTAAATCTTTCAAGAGAGGTCAAAAGTAAGCACTGAGCAAAGTTACTGTTTATGGAAGGCATTCCAACTTCTGAAAACGGCCCGTGAGCGGGGTGGGGCGTAGATGAACACACTCCAAAGTCGGTTTGAGGGTTAGTGACGGGGCTCTGTGCAAAGCACTTGTCTATCTTCTGCGGGTTCCTGGGCTCCATCCCCAGCACTGCTCCCCCTAAAAGGTCAACCCCCAAAGGGGTAGCAAGAGCAGCAAGGTATCTGTAACACTTCTCTCTGGGAAGCATATTTAACTACATTTTAGTAAGACCGTGCCTTATACTGTCACTGTACTAAGTGTCAAATTCCCAAAATTAAATTCTTAAAATGCCCTGAAAGTTAAACTCCTTAAACAAATTAGGGAAGTACAGCTGCACAGCAATCTAATTCTCCCATCCTTAAAAAGCAATTAAGCCAGACTAGGGCCAGGGATATAGCTCAGCAGCACAGCGCCTGCCTGGCAAATGTGAGGTCCTGAGTTCGATTCCTGATATCAAAGAAAAAAAAGCAATGAAGCCAGACTCTAGGGGCCTCAAGACTGCAAAGATGATCCCACGGCCTAATACAAATCTTGTTTCTCACTTAGGAAGATGTTCTCTTTTAAGTTTCATCCAAGTATACAAAGCACAAATCACTTTTTCAAAGTGAGTCTTATGAGTAAACTACACCATACCATCAGGAGAGCAGAACTTAGTACTAAGTGGTTTTCGTTACTCCAGACAGCACCCCATCCTAAAGCCTTGTTTAGTAAGCACCTCTCGGATGATACCCACCGTCAAGATGCTCCCTCTTTTTATTTTTTCTATTTATTATTATTACTATTTTTGTCTTTTTGAAACAGGGTCTCACTATGCAGCTCAGGCTGGCCTTGAGCTCACTTTGTAGCCCAGGCTGCCCTCAAACTCACAACGCTCCTCCTGCCTCAGCCTCCCGAGTGCTGGGATTACAGGTGTGAGCCGCCATGCCCAGCTGTTCCCCTCTTTTTAGAACACTGTACAATCAGAGCCTACGTATAGACACGTTTTCTGCACCTACAGACTGGCGACTCTACACTAGCACCAGTCCTATTCAAAGCAGTCATCAGAAGGCAAGAAGCATTTCTTCCAGGTGTTACCACACGTCCAGGACAATCCCGAACTGACAACGTGTGACTTTGCGCTTCGGAACCCTTTCCGGTGCTCCCTGGCTCTCAGCACGGAAGGCAGCGTGATTCTTTAAAAATAAAACTCGGGTCATGTCACTCCTTTTCTGTGAAGGCGCCTCATTTTGCTCAGAGTAAAACACAAAGACCCTCTCAGGGGCCCGCGGAGGCCTGAGATAATGCAGAGCCCTGCGGGCTGTCGCCGACTTCACCACACCTCTCTCCCGCTCTCAGCGCCGCAGGGCCTCCGCCGGACCGCACCTCCCCGGGACACCTGCACTCCACTCGGAATGCCTCCGCTTCCAAATTTTGCTCAAAACTCACCCGAGGGAGGCTACCCTCACCACTCCACTTTAAACTGCGGCTCTCCGCTGCCCTGAGGTTCCTAGCTCCTCTTCCTGTTCTGCCTTTTCTTTCCTGCAGTATAACACACTGTATCATTTCTTTTTTATATGCTCGCTGTTATCTACCTGTAGCGTTCAAGGCAGGGCTGCATGTCTTCTGTGTAGTACCTAACGTACCTACAGCCCTGTCTGGCAGACAGGAGGCACTCAAGTACTACCAGGCGCATGACTCAGGACCCGTCACACAGCGCTACTTACTACACAGGAAGACAGGGCGAGGGCATATCTGATTGAGACACGCACGCCACGATCGTATCTGGTAAGCGGACCAGCTTGTTCTAATGCAAGGTGTAAGGAACCATTCGGCATCCAAGCAGGCAGCTTAGCAAGCTTGTTTCACCACAAACCATTCTCACCTAAATCAACGGCTACAAAAACGCACCCTCTACATTATTGGCATCACCAAACTAGGCTCTGTGTTCTAGCATAGGGTCTCCATTAGAGGATAAAGCAAAAAAAGGCTGGTTAAAGGACAGGGCATTGAGCACGCTATCAGCCAAACCATCAACCCGTGACAGCACAAGATGAATCGATCATTCACCACACCCACAAATACTTCTTGTTGGGCACTGCGGAAGCAGCGTGAGAAAGCAGAGTTTAGTTGAGAAGGCATTTTATGCAATTTCAAACCCTCTGCCGCCTCTGTAATTTGCTTAAGACTTCTTTCTCCATTACCTTATTAAGTAGATAGACATGCTGGTTTGCTTTTCTTTGTTTGTTTGTTTTTGTTTTTTTTTTCCCGGTACCGGGAACCGAACTCACGACCTTGTGCTTGCCAGGCAGGTGCTTTGCCGCTGAGCTAAATCCCCAGCCCCTGAGAAGGCATTTTAAAATACACAGTCATAACACAGTGCCCTTAGCACTACACAGAGGACACCAAGCGCTGGAGAACACATGGCAGAAGGACCCCACGCAGACTGAGCAAGGGGTTAACCGGGAAAGAGTTCTTGAAGGACTCAAACTCTAAGCACAGCTTTGAAGTTTCTTTGCTTATTTAGAGACAAAGGTGGCATTTTACTATCATATCAAAGACTGACATTTTTTTTAAGGAATGTGCAGTTTACTTAGATTCCAAACGTGAGGCAGCGAAGACATCTACAAGGAGCTTCACTGGCCACCACTGACACTTTCCACAGGCCTCTCTGATAAGACAAAGAGCAAAACACAAACAAAAGCTAGGAGCAGCACACATGCCTGCAGCCCCAACTTCCTGGGAGGAGCAAGTGGGAGGAATACGTGAGCCTGTAAGTTTGAGACCAGCCTGGGCAACCTAGCAAGACCCCATCTGGAAAAAAACCCAAAAGCCTCTGCAAAGATGAACATTAATATAGTTAATCTGCTCATCTTTCTCCCAGATCATCTCTTTGCCTATATTATCTATTTTGAGTACTCAGTTTATTCTCAAAGACTAGGAGTATTTCTGCAAGCTCAAGCAACTAGACTGGGTATTTCTTCCCATGGCAGAAGGCAGGCATTATTTCTAAGGGGACACAGACACACACACACACACACACACAATGAACGCACCATTCCCCAGATACAAAGGAAGAGTTAATGGCTATCTGCTTCCGTAACACTTCTCCATCCTGCGCAAACCTCCTTTCTGCAAACTTCACAATTTCCTTCACTCTGATTTCTCAAATAAATTTCAACATCCACAGCCCAGCTGTTTCTGCAAGCCCAGTCGTTACCTTCTTTAGAAGCGTCCCCGGCCCAAGCTTCTCCAACAGTCACTCTGCACCGTATGTGCTTTAGACACTACAGGTCTCACTCCAACCTTTAGTGACTTTAGGTAAGCACGTGTGCTTTACCTCTTCAGTGAGACCGTAAGCAACTGCAACACAGACTGTCCATCCCTTTGGTCTCTTCCACTGACTCCTGACACACTATTTCCTCATGAGCAGAGTTATTAGTGACTTTCAAATGATAATCATAGCCTTTGGACTTTAAAAAAAAAAGCTATAGTGAGAAATGGATTTAGAGCCAAAAAATCTGGAATGCAATGTTGTAAGTATCAGCATATAATTAGGTTCATCTCTTACAACTTAGTTTGCTCATTTGAGAACATGCATGTCCAAGCTCTTGTAAATCATAAGATGCTACTGAATAAAATACCATTAGTATCACAGAACTGCCTGTGCACATGTTTTTCAGTTTCACCCACATGCATAAGACCATGCTCTGAAAGAAAGGACATGGCTTTTATCAAGAATTCAAACCAAGCCAGGTGCACACCTGTAATCCCAACACTCTGGGAGGCTGAGGCAGGAGGGTCACAAATTCAAGCTTGGCCTGGGCAACTTAGTGATTTAGTGAGACCCTGCCTCAAAAAGTTTAAAAAAAAAAAAAAGAAAAAAAAAAGTTAAAAAAGAGCAGGGAGGTAGCTCAGTGCAAAGGCATTAGGTTCTGTCCCTAGGACAGCAAAAAGAAAGAAAACAAAAAACTGTAATCAGGTATTAATAATGAAAAGCATCATTATATAAATTGCAGTTCCCTGAAAATCCTGAAACCCACTGCAGATTTTTACCCGACATGCTCACCCGAAAACTTTTCTGTTAATAAAGACCCGGGAGAAACACTGCTTCTACTAAAATTAAATCTTTTTCTTGCAAATTATGCAGTGTTTGTGTGGGGAGAGGGGAAGACAGTGCTCACGCCACAGAAAAGTAAAACCTCTCACCCTTGTCCCAATCCCACTCCCCACCCAGTCCCCTCTGACAGCTCCTCTCCGGCAACCTGGTTACTAAGGCTTAGGACAAAGCCCCCAGCGAGCTGGCCCTCCCTGCGGACTGTACCGCCCCACCTCTGCAACCCCACATTCACCTGCTCACTGCGCAGCCACAAGGTGCCTGTTACTCTCTCAGAGTTAGCAACTTAGAAAAGAAGGAACAAACTCCACCTCCGGAGAGCTCACAGGCGGACAGCGAAGAAAGGCAGGGGCAGGTGTGTGACGGTGAAGTTTGCCAAGGGCAAAGCAGGGCGAGGACTCGGCGGTTACAGCGTGGGTAGTGATGCAGTGGGAGAAACAGCCTCTGACCAGAGACCTTCAAGGGTCCGGGGGGGAAATGCAGAGGAGCGTGCTGCGGGCTATGATTAGGCACCGGTGCAGCCGCCCTCTGGGACTGCGCGTGAGGGGGCGCGGGACCAAACCGTGCAGGATCTCCCCAGACTCACTCCGCTGTCTTTCGTTTGATCTTCTGGACTGTTCTTTCCATCATTTAGAAGTCTTAACTCAATGGGCGGGGATTGCGTTTGTTACAGTCTTCACACACTAGTATTAGAACTAAAGCCGGGCATGGTGGCGCATGCCTCTAATGCCAGCACTCAGGAGGCTGAGGCAGGAGGACTGTTTCGAGTTTGAGACCAACCTGGGCTACAAAGTGAGCTCAAGGCCTGCCTGAACTGCATAGGGTGACCCTGTCTCAAAAAGACAAAAAAATAAAAAAATAAAAAAAGAACTCATAGAGGGTAAATAAATATTTATTGAATAAAATCAATAAAGTAGAAATCCAGAAGTTCCCTTTACCAATCAGAACCTTCGGTTCGGTTACTGTTGAAACAAGAGGCTACGCTTATTAGGTGGACACCTGTGCTGGCCGGCGCAGGGCGAGGCCGGGCGGCCATCTGCCTGCTGGCTTTCAGCGAAGTGAAGGCTGCCAGGCGCCCTGGCTGCAGGGCTCCTGCAAGATCACGGCAGAACCTGAGACTCCACTTCCATTTCCCTCTTGGAGAACGAAGCAGAGATAAGAAAGTCAGTGCAGGAGACACAGAGCGGGAAGTGGTAAAATACAGAAAACGCAGCAGAAGACTAATTTCCACCTAACCCATGACAAGTCAGTTTCCCCGAAATTCAACTTTCAAACTTGACTAATAATAAGAAAATATTTTAGAATTTAAAAAATGGTGGTTTTAAAGGTTGCATAATTTCCATCTAACCCATGACAATTCAGATTTCCTAAAACAGTTCCCGGGAAAGTTCAAAAACTCTCCCCGGCCTACTAAGCTTGATCAGAGATAAAGCAATTCAGGAAGAGCAATACTGCGGTTGGCAGAAGCTGCGGCTCGCTCGGTTCAGGTTCCAGTACTGGCTCGATCCCTTTGCACGTCTACGTATCTGCAGCATGCAGTATGCTCCATGTGGCCTCCAGCCAAACATTACTGTCAAGAAGCCAACAGAAATGTCTTAATCACTTTTTGTCGTTTACAAGATCTAGATACTTTAACTGCACATTTTCCAAACGCCATGTGCATCTGTAAGATTCAGCTGCCTCCCGTTGTGCCGAATGAGGGAAACTCACTACCTGGTCCGAGTCCTGCTCCTGGTGGGGCCTGGGCTGGCGCTCACACATGCGACCCGGCATGAGGGCATCGGCGACGCACAGAGCCATCAGGGCCGGGAGCTGGAGGAAAACGCTCCCCGTGTGAGATGCACTCTGGGCGGATCCTCAGACCTGGGCGGTCTCGGCCCAGCTGCCCACAGTGGCGACCATGTCACTCACACCCTGCGGCAGCTTCTCCCCTCTGTTCGTTTTCCCTACACCCCCCACTCCCCCGTGGCCCCCGAGACCCAAGCGCGGCTTCCTGGGAGGGCCCCAGGCGATAGCAGTAGAGATGGCCACGAAGCTGGAGGAGGAGGATTGCTCAAGCTGTGGGCTCTGCTCCCTGTCCCAGGGCAAAAACCTAACACTTCAAAGATCGGCATGCAAGCTAGTATCATCGCCCACATGCACAGGTGATAAAGGATCAGGGGGTAAGGTACACTTCTTGAGAATCTTTAAAAGCTAGGAGCTGGGTATGGTGGCACATGCCTGTAATCCCAGCACTCGGGAGGCTGAAATAAGAGGATCGTTGTGAGTTCGATTCTAGCCTGGACTTCAAAGTGAGCTCAAGGCCAGCCTGAACTGCATAGCGAGACCCTGCCTCAAAAAGACAAAAAAAAAAAAAGCTAGGCGTTGGGCATGGTGGTGCATGCCTATAATCCCAGCACTCGGGAGGCTGAAGCAGGAGAATCGTTGCAAGTTCGAGACCAGCCTGGGCTACAAAGTGAGCTCAAGGGCAGCCTGAACGGCATAGCGAGACCCTGTCTCAAAAAGACCCACACACACAAAAAAAAGCTAGAAGAGGCACTTGGAGAAGAAAAGGCGTAGTCAGAACTCCCTCCACTCTCTTCTCCATGGACCGTGTGTGAGGACCCAGCGCTGACTCTCCAAAGGGGGCACGATGTGCCGGAAATGGAGGAAATGCTGCCCCGTGCCACACAGGGCACACGTCTTGCACGTCTACCCCAAACTGCGATAAGAGCCAGATAACAAGAAAGTAAGGGGTCTCTTGAGAGCTGCGTCCTGCTGAACAGTTTGGGAGCAGAAACGCTGATCTTCCCCCTCCAGCAGAGGGAGGCGAAGAAACGCGGACTCACACATCACTGAATTCCTCCAGAGACCGTGCAGGCGTGAAGACGTCCAGCAGGCCAATCACCTACGAAAAAAGAAATCAAACGAAAATAAGTATCGAACTCACAGGTCTTAGTCACATTAAGCAGAACTAACTCCAAATCCAGCTTCCACAGCCAGTCACAGCACAGCATCACATACTTAATAATTCCAGCTGACTTTCCACGACTCACGACTTCGCGCTTGCCAGGCAGGTGCTTGCACCACCCCGGCCCACTATGTTCTTGATAGTTATTTTCTTTTCTAATATATGTGCTGTCAGAGGGAGCACTGTATTACTTTTTCTTAATATTGATAATTTTCTTAATTATTATCAGGGATTTAGATCAGATTATTTAAAATTAACAAAGGTGGGCCTATCTTTACATCAGGATAAAGCCAAGAGCTACTTAACAGTAATCCATGGTGTCTGAGCAGGTTTTCTGGCCACAGATTTACACTGATGATTTATCCACATAGAGCACCCAGCCCTGCCGGTTCCACTTCAAACCCAGGCCACTCGCCTCAACAGACACTGAGAACGAGAACTAACACACTTCACTTCCAATGTGCCCAGCCAGTTCGAAGGGTATCTTAGGACAAAAGCTAAGTGATCTTCCTGAAAACTGAACCCAACCAGCCTCACTAGCAAGCCGCTCTAAACCAAGGGAAACAAATCACCCTAAAGACAAATTAAAGCTCAAAACACTGTTAGAAAAAAGAAAACTATTCAGGACGTTACTGCACATATCCAAACATCAGACTTTTGAAAGCAATTAGAATCATACAGCTCGGGGCTGGGGATTTAGCTCAGCGGCACAGCACCTGCCTGGCAAGCACAAGGTCGTGAGTTCGATTCCTGGTATTGAAAAAAAAAAAAGAATCATACAGCTCAACCTAAAGGGGAACTGTGGCCTGCGTATTTGAGCACAAGAGTGTTGCAAGTCTGTGTCAACTGTTCCAAAGGAAACACAGTCACCCTTCAGATCCTTGCCCGCACAACTACAGGTAAGAACACCAAAATTACAGGCTGGGGATATAGCTCCGCGGACAAGTGCCTGCCTGGCAAGCGCAAGGTCCTGAGTTCGATTCCCAGTACAAAAAAAAAGTGAAAAGAAAACCAAAATCATGCATAATTGCACCAGCCATTATAACTGTCATTACTATTTTGGGATATTTTCTTTGATTTTTTTGATGTGCATAAATTAAAAAGAGGTTCTACTCTGCATCTAGTTTTATATTCTGACTTTTTACTTAACATATAAGGACTATTCTCATATTTCTTTCAACAATATTTATATATACCATATCTATCATTTAAATCAGCCATAACTTGACCTTCGTGTTGGGTAAACAGATAATAGTTAGTAAATATTGGTATCTTCTCTGAGCTCCGTTTACCTCAAATGAAAGACATAGGGTTATCACTGATTATTTTTACAGTACTACGGGAAGATTAAGGCGATGATGTACCCGAAGGTACCTCACACAAGAGGCTGACAGATAAGCAGTGATCATTCCCACAGTATTACAAGATGCAGCACACATAAGGAAGCTCTCTGAAGCAGCTATTTACAGAATTTAAAGCATAAAGCTAAACAAAATTATACAAATGAGTAAAAAGCACAGCTTCAAGAAATGCAATGAACTAACTTGAAAATAATAAGAGAAATAGTTACAACATTTAATGTATTTAACACAAGCACCTAGGGCCAGGAATACAGCTCAGTGGCATAAGTGCCTACCTGACAACCGTGAGGTCTTCAGTTTGATTCCTGGTACCAAAAAAACCAAAAACAAACTAACACAAGCACCAAAAACACTTTTGTGAAGTTGCCCATGTTACATCGAAGCACTTTTAATTTTTTTGTGTGTGGACTTCTACCATATACCCCTCTTCCATTCATCCATTGTATTTATGGGGTATTAATCATAAGGAAAATACTGCAACACAAACGTTTCCCAGCATTAAAATAGATCTGGAGACCATTTTAGGAATATTCCATAATCTATTCATGGAAATTTCCTTTTAATTTAAATCATATTTTAGCCTATCGCTTTACTCCTGCCATTATGTAATTTCAGCCACCTAACAGTAACAAAGAAACCAAACTTTTTGAAAGGATCTTCCTTCCTTCCTTCCTTCCTTCCTTCCTTCCTTCCTTCCTTCCTTCATCTGTCCTTCCTTCCTTTTATTCTTTCTTTTTTGGTACCGAGAATTGAACTCAGGACCTCGCTCTTGCCAGAGAGCACTGCGGGGCTGAGCTATATCCCCAGCCCCTGGAAGGACCTTTATAACACAAACAAGCAGCAGTGTCTCTAATGATTAGCTTATAAGCATGAAGGTTTACAAGTAGAAAGAATACATTTTTATTAGTGTTATCCCCCTAAAAAAGTTAAAATTCCGCAATCAACCAAAGACAGCATTGAATGTTTTTAATAAAACCATACCAAAACACCTAAAAGTAACACAGAAATCACATGTTTGGCAAGGACCTCTGTAACACAAACAAATGGCAAGTGTGTCTCTACTGGTTTACTGGGACAAGGTCCATGTAAGACTTTCCAAACAATTTTTTTAGGGAGGTACCAGGAATTAAACTCAGGACCTCACACTTGCCAGGCAGGCACTGACTGCACTGCTAAGCTATATCCCTGGCTCCCCAAATACAATTCATGAAAGGACTTTCTTATTTTTAAATTTTAAGATGTACAGGTCTCGAGGCCCAGAAGTAACTGCCCAGGTAGCAAAAGGCTGCAGCTGCAAGGCTGCCTCTCTCTAACTGTCCCTTAAGCCGGTATTAATGAGAGCAAGGCTACAAGTTCAATCCAAACCAAGCCAGCCGAGTTTACTGGGAGATTAACACTCACCGTCACAGAAGACACCCCTTAGCCATAGTCACCATAGCAATAGGTGTGAATCTGTCATTTTTCAGACTGACACTGTCAATCTGAGGCCAGCCTGGGCTACACAGCCAGACTCTGTCTCAAAAAACAAATAATCAATCAAAAGATCACATATGGATTCAGGCCCCTAAAAATTCTACTTGTTACTAATACCCAAATTTTTCAAAACAGTTGTTTTTTTTCTTTTTTTGCTTTTTGAGACACGGTCTCACGATGCAGTTCTGACTGGCCTTAATCTCACTCTGTACCCCAGGCTGGTCTCGAAAAAATCCTCCTGCCTCAGCCTCCCAGTGCTGGGATTACAGGTGTGTAATGAGCCACGCCCGGCTCATAAAGGTTTTAAACTACTCTTGTCATCTCTGGATGACTGGCAGCTAAAAAGCAGGTGGTGACTCAAAGCTGCCAAGAAAAGAAGAAAAAAAGAAAGAAAGACAAAAGCACCATGAAGAAGAAGAGGCTGAAGGAGAAGAACTTCTTTGAAAATCCTTAAACTTACTGGAAGTCTTGGCTCTTCGCCCGGCAAAACTACTTTCACATTGTAAGCGCCTAATAAATGTTTACAGAACAGGCTGAAAGGCAGGAAATTTTCTACACTGAAGTCCCAGTCCTCTGACCTCGTCCCATTTCCCCTCGAACATCTGTCAGAAAAATACAGAACTCGGAGGCCTTCAACCGGCTATGTGCTTTTGTTCACAAATATAAATCGCCAGTATCTGATTTATGAGATCAGCCTCCATGGCTGGAACCTTCCGAACATCTTCAAACAAAAGGGTGGGCTGCCAGTGAGCAAGGTGCTTATGACAACTTAGGTAAATTAAAATCCCATTTTTCTAATGCTGTCAGCTATCTTTTTTGGAGTAATGTTATCTGTCCTAAATTAGAACGACTGAATTTCATCACTCTCTGCTCCAAGCTTCCAAAGCACACAATGTTCCAAATGCAACCAGTCCGATACCATGTTAGCCGTCTTCACATGACCATCTCATGAAAGCATAAAAAAAACTAAAGAAGGTTGATTCTTAGGGCTACTAGAAAAGCCAAAGCACAGATGCGAATAATCCAAAATATTTTCGCCCTAAACATTAGCCTAAATTGTTTAGGAAGAAAAGTACGTGTAATCTCCCAGTCCAGAGGTTCTTAAATTAGCATAAGCTATATCAGTGGGATCCCAGGGCTTCCCGAGGTGCTTTGGGGTTCCATAAATGTTTGGTTTGGATTTTTTTTTTTTGTCTTTTTGAGACAAGGTCTCGCTATGCAGTTCAGGCTGGCCTTGAGCTTACTTTGCAGCCCAGGCTGGCCTCAAACTCCCAATGATCCTCCTGCCTCAGCCTCCCGAGTGCTGGGGTTCCAGGTGTGCGCCACCACGCCCGGCCTGGATTCTATTTTTGAAATATTCTTTATGCTTAAAAAGCTGTGACAATGCTTGTGTCACATTTGTTAATGGGCAATAAAAAACAGCATACACATTCGAATGTGTTAGAAACCAAGTGTAAACACATCCGCTCAGCTGCGGGGACACTTTGATTTTAGGCAGACCCAGGAGTCAACCTTCCCCTGCCAGCTTTTCCCTCATATCTCAACTGCTTGTAAACACGTCACTGGTTAGGATGCCTCCAGCTCTGCACTGAAGCAGGGTGGGTGGGTGTGTGTGTGTGTGAGATACGGATTGACCCCAGGGCCTTGCACATACTAGGCAAGCACTCTAAGGCTATACCTCCAACTCTTTTTTTTTTTTTTGGTTTTTCTCCGGTACCAGGAACCAAACTCACGACCTTGCGCTTGCCAGGCAGGCGCTTTGCCGCTGAGCTAAATCCCCAGCCCCTCCAACTCTTTTTTTTTTTAAATTTTGAGTCAAGGTCTCGCCAACTGGCCGGTGCCAGCTGCCATGCTTGGTCCTCTTGCCTCAGGAATTCCAGGTGAGCCCCACTACACACAGCTGCGCTGGACCTTCAGAAACTCAGGTTTATGCACAGCTGCTTGTGAAGATCATACTTAGGGATAGAGGTGATCTATACGAGACAGGGTTTTAACAGTATGCCCTCAAAATAAAACACAGAAGTAAACAAAAAGTTGTATTTGTGATTTTAATAGCACCCATCATGTAATGACAAATCTATGTTTTCACGTCCTCAATTAGGAAAAACGTATACTAATAAAACAAAGTTATACTAGTAAGGTAGCACTTAATCAGATTTTTTTTCTTACTATAGAGAAAAAAGTTCAATTATTTAAATAGAGGGCTGGGGATATAGCCCAGTGGCACAAGCACTTGCCTGGCAAGCGCAAGGTCCTGAGTTCGATTCGCGAGACCAGAAAAAAAAAAAAAAAAGAACAACTATTAAAAAAGAAAGTTTAGCCAGGCATGGTGGCGCATGCCTATAATCCTAGCACTCAGGAGGCTGAGGCAGGAGGATCACTGCAAGTTCGAGGACAGCCTGGGCTACAAAGTAAGCTCAAGGCCAGCCTGAGTTGCATAGCGAGACCCTGTCTCAAAAATAAATAAATAAAGTTTGAATAAGCAAGTCCAAGTTTGTAGATTTTGAATTTTTTCTATACAGTAACAATCAGTTGAGCCAAAAATGACTCTCAAATCTCTTTGGCTACCTTTCCACAATTGTATAGTTCCCTTCATATGGCTGTCACAGAAATTTGGGGGGTTTTTTGGTTGCTGTTGATGGTGGTTTGTTATTTTTTTAAGGTTTTTTTTTTTTTTGAGACAGGGTCTCGCTATGTAGTTCAGGCTGGTCTTGAATTCCCTTTGTAGCCTAGGCTGGTGTCAAACTCACAATGATCCTCCTGCCTCAGCCTCCCAAGTGCTAGGATTACAGGCTACCATGACCAGCATAAGAAACTCTTTTTAACTTGATCCTCGAAGTCAGAAAATAAGTGCCCTCAGTCAGCAGTTTTTCACTTTGTTATTTTCCAATTGTAGAGATTGATCTACCATATTAGGGTTTATGCTCACTCCTTTGCAGAATGGCATTGTTCTTATATTACCAAACTGACAGAAAAAGTTACATTTATCCAATTCTCTATGACACTTATTAAAATAAAAGCTGTCTCTTGAAGGTTAGAAAGAAACATTGTACTATTGAACAGCTGTCCCTTGGTAACGGTGAGGGTTGTTTCAGGACCACACCCTCACTGTGGACACCAAAACCCCCAGGGACGCAGGTTCCTGTATCACATGGTACTGTACTTGCACGGAAGCTGTGCGCAGCTTAAATCCTTTCTAGATCCCTCACCGTACCTGGCACAGAGAGCTGTTATGCTGTGTTTAAGGAATAATGATGGGGCAAGGGTCTGCACATGCTCAGTACAGTTATGTTTTTTTTCACAAATACTTTTGATCTGTGGTCAGTCAAATCTATGGATGCAGAAGCCATGCGCATGGAGGGCTAAGGAACATACAAAATCACGTCCACCTTCCAGGTGACTGTCAGGGAGCCAAAGACAGCCTTCCTCAGTTTTTCCACTCTAACAGCCCACATCAACAGAAAAAGCCATCAGGGCCGGGAATATAGCTCAGCAGCACAAGCGCCTGCCTGGCAAGCACGAGGTCCTGAGTTCAATTCCCGGTACCCACCCCAAAGAAAAACCAGAAAAAGCCGTGAGTGTCCACACTCTGACAATATAACCATATACAAATTAGGAAAAAAACACGAATTTTTCTCTTTTAACATTTTCTTTTAGGCATTTTTTTTGAGATAGGATCTCACCATGCAGTTCAGGCTGGCCTTGAACTCACTATGTAGCCCAGGTTGGTCTCTAATTCATAGTGACCTTTCTGCCTCAGCCTCCCAGGTGCTGGGATTACAGGTGTGCGTGACCACGCCCAGCTAACCATTCTTAAGAAATTAGGAACTTCATTATCATACCCTCTTTTTATATTAAACTTTAAAAAGGGAGTTCCCTGTAGAAATCTTCAAGTAAAACCAGAATTCCAGGAAGAGGCACAATTTAATTCCAAGACATTCACCTGCCATGACCCAGCGGCCACTAATACCCAAGTACCCAGAGAAGCAGGAACCAAACTTGGAAACACTCCAACGTCCCACTGTTTGCAGGAATTAAAACGCAACTGCTTGGAGTATTGAAGACCAGGATGCAGTCTCCTTGAATGGAGAACTTACATTTTTTTTTTTTTGGTACCGGGAATCGAACTCAGGACCTTGCGCTTGCCAGGCAGGCGCTTGTGCCGCTGAGCTCCATCCTCCACCCAAGAACTTACATTCTCGTGCTTCATGTGTTTCAGTAACCGCAGCTCCCGGTAGGTCCTCTTGGCGTGAATGATGGACTGAAACGGCCTGGACAGCTTCTTCACGGCCACGCGTAACCCCGTTTTTGTGTCAAAAGCAGCACTGCAGGGAGAGAAGAAAACATCCCACCATTAGAAGTGCTCTAAACATCACTTTTAAATATTTACAAGGCTGTTTCGTTTAAGTGGGCTATAATAAAAATGCAAAAAGCCAAATAAAAGCCAGAGAGAAAAAAACTAAACAGATCTGTAATTCCACCATCCAAAGAAAGCTTCTACTACTTTTGGCATTTTCTTCTAGTCTCTTCTATACGGCTAAATCGGGGTTGGTAATTTTTCTTTTTTTTCTGTAAAGGGCCACAGAGTAATATTTCAAAGTTCATGCACCCTGTCACAAGCTCTCAACTTGTGGTCGCACCCAGACAGCAGCCAGATAAGATGATTCAAAAAAACAAAAACAAAAAGACAGCGGTGGCTGTGTTTGAATACTTCGCAAAAACAGGCAGCTGGTTGCCTAATCCAGATGAGCCAACCTCCTGATAAACACGGAGCTGGGTTACATCCGTCCTCCTGCACGGGCCGCCCTGTCACCATGCGCCGGCTGAGCACAGCAGAGCAGAGCCCTCTCTAACCAGTGTTTTCAGGAAAATGAGCTGGGCAAAAATTTACTGAAGACAAAGTATTTGGCATTTTCTACAGGCTGAAATGCAGTAGGAAAGAAGCGGAAACATACCCGCCCTCAGGGGAAAAGATCGGGGGAGAGGGAGAGAGAGAGGATAAAACAATTTGACGTAGTGGTGAATGCTATGATGAAATAAAACTGCAAGATGAGAGACAGAGACGCAGAAGGCCAGCCCGGTTACGTTACTTCAGCTAGGAAACACACCGGGCTCAGAAGTGAACAGTGAGGAGGAGGCAACATTGTAAAGTTGAAAAGGAAAATGAGCTTCACCCAGAAGAAACAATCACAGTAAAACTAACATTGCTGGGTCTTTACCACATACAAGGAACTGTTCTGAGTGTTTTCCATTATTTTCCTTAAATTGGCTCTTTTAATCCCTCAAAGTAAGCATCATTTCCCCAGGACACTGAGGGCAAAGCCGCGAGGCTGGATCCAGAGCGCACTCAGCTGGTCTCACGCAGCCGCCTCCCAGAAGACCAAGCGCAAATGAGACAAGAAGCGGGAGGAGAAGGTGCTTGCTGGTGGGCCCGGGGCGGAGCCAGGGCTGCCAGGCGAGGCCGGGGGTGAGGTCGGGGCGCGGACAGAGGCTGGACCCGTGGGACAGCCACAGCAAGAAATGTGATATGCATTGCCAGGACTGTTAGAGACTGTGCCCACCTACCCTGCCTCGCCTTCCTGTCATCCCCGTCCACCGCCCGCCTGACTCCGATCATCTGTCATTACCAACTCCGTCCCCAACAAACCGGATTTTATGACTGCGAAATCCAGGAAGCTCCCTTTCTTTCACATGTGTCTTCGTGCTCCCCTCCCAGCGTGAGGTACGTCCCTCTACCTTTCTCACCTTCCCTCCATTGCTTTGCTGAACGAGGCTGAGCGTCTCTCCCAGGCCTGCTGGAAGAGCATGCTCCGGCAGCCCAGGGACCATGGGGGGCCCGTGGGATGGGTTGTTCTCAGGGCCAGCCCACGCTTCTTCAAGACCACCGCTCCCCGTCTGTCCTCCAAAAGCCCCTGCTCACAGTCCTGACACACCACTCCTCTCTGCGGCCGTTATCTCCTGACCTGGAATTTCCCGTCATTCTCTAAAAAGTTTGTTCCCAGTTAAAACTCTCTCCCCACCCCCAAGTTCTGTCATCGTTCTTGGCAACGTCAGCACGCAGATGGAGGGCGCATCCAGTGTCCTGTTTCCTGACCGCTCTAGGAAACCCCACCTCGCTCAGCCACCTTCAGGTGCACCCCGGGCTCCGCTACCCCCACCCGAACTGCCCTCCCTGCAAAACTCGGGCAGCTGGCACCGTTTCCGTCAATCTTCCTGTCCCTTCCAGCTTGCTTCTAGTTTACTTGTCCTTGACTACAACAACATGTTGCCCTAGTCATCACTGCCCTTTTTTTTTTTTTTTTTTTTTTTTTGGTTTTTCTCCGGTACTGGGAACCGAACTCACGACCTTGCGCTTGCCAGGCAGGCGCTTTGCCGCTGAGCTAAATCCCCAGCCCCAACTGCCGTTTCTATCCTTCAGCCCTCTCCTGTCCTCCTTTCTCTTTTTCCTCAAGGACAACAACGGCTTCTCTCCCTCCCTCCATCCCGCCCTCCCGCCCTCTCCCCATGCGATGTTCTCATCTGGATAAAATCTAACCTTAGATGACCTCAACCATTCAATTCCCCATGTCTGAATGCAAAGAACTGACTGTGGTTGAAGGAAAAAAAAAAAAAAAAAGAGTGCAGGATCGGGCAGATTGGTTGCATTTTTAATTTCTGACCTTAACTTCAAATAGGCTCTTGACAGTGTCAGTCTTCCCTAACAAGCTCATCTGCCTTCTCCCAAGTGACCATTCTGCATCTTCCTCAAAATCCCAACTCACTCCCGCCCTCAGCAGCTGCTCTCGCCCTCCCTGAGAAAAGAGAAAGCACCCAGGGGCCCTCTGTGCAGCGCGGAACCTACAAAGCCACCTGGACCCACTCCCCCATCTCCCCGCTTGCTGTGGACTTGCGCTCCTTCTCAGCACTGCAGCCAGGCCCTCCACACACGCTCAGGACCCACCGCAACCCTCCACCTTCTCAAGGACTTCGCTTCTTCACTGCAGCATCAGTTGTCCTCTCTCTACTGCCTGGCTCCTCCCGGCAATTCTGTGTTCTAGTTATTTCCCATCCTCACCGAGCAACGTCCCTCGCCGGCTCACCACCAGGAAGTTCTCCAGAGGTTCCCGGAGCACGGGAACCAGCAGCGTGTCTCACCTGGAAATTTCTAAGAACTACACATTCTCAGGCGTCATCCAGAGCTACTGAATTAAACTTCAAAGGGGGCCCAGCAGTCTGTATCTTCTCAAGTCTTTTATTTGATTCCAACACACACTAAGGTTTAAGACCCACTCACTGAGGGGCTCGGGATTTAGCTCAGCGGCACAGCGCCTGCCTGGTAAGCGCGATGTCGTGAGTTTGATTCCCAGTACCGAAAAAAAATCAAAAAAACAAAAACAAAACAAAATATAAAGAACCCCTAACTAGTACCTCTGCTATTTGACGTGCATTCCAGGGACTAGAAGCATTAGCAAGATCTGAGAGGATGAAAGAAATACAGGATCCCAGGTCCTGAAGTAGTATCTATATCTTGACAAGATCAATGGGTTATTCCTACTGCTTATGGTTTAGGAAGCACCTGTTTGGTTGTGTCTAGATGTCTCCCCTTACATGCAGTCATAGATGGGGCTTTTTCAGAGGCGGCTGGATCTAGAGGGTGTGACTGAGTCATGGTGCGATGCTAGGTTCAAGGGCACTAGGATTAAGGGTGTGAGTGCTACCTCCTCTAAATAGCCAGGATAAGGGACAGAAAGAGCTGTGGTGACCCCTTGCTTGCTTTGCTACTTTCTGCCCACCGCGAACTGTTTCTCCTCTTTGATGCTTCTCCGCCATGACACCCCGCCTCGGAGGCAGCCGATTATGGGCTGAAAGCCCTACACACTGTGAGCTACATAAACCTTTCTCTGTGTCCATTCATGTACTTCCTCTATGCCAGCTCCACATGAGGAGGCTCTTCAGGACAGGCCCTGGGCTCTCCCTCCGCTCCCCGACTCCGTCCTTCTACATGCTCTCGTCTATACCCAGGGCTTCAAATGAGATGCTGTCTAGATACTGAAAGCTCCCTAACGCAGGTCTCTTACTAAGATCTCTCCTCTGAGCTGACTGCCAGACAGCACCTTAAACTTAGCAAGTTCCAAACGCCCAAGCTACTGCTCTGTCTCTTTCATCGTGCAGTAAGCGACAGTCCACGCAGTCAGGCAGAAATCTGAGCGTCACCTTTCCTTTCTCCCTTGCCCTCCAGCACCCCCCCCAGGCACCACCATCCAAATCTACCAGCAAGCATTGCGGTGTGTAGCAACAAAATACTCAAATTCAACTTCTCTGAACTTCCCCACTTCAGTCCCGGTCCGTGCAATCCGCAGCCCCAGTCTGCCTTCTCGTACTGGACTCTGCTTCCTGTTTTGCCCTCTTCTAATATATTCGGTACCAGCACCCATTAGGATCCTTTAAACGCAGCAGACTACGGCACTCGGTGCTTTGCGCCCTTCAAGGAATTTCTCTGGCATACGGAGTAAAATGCAGATTTCCTATCCGGGCTGCAAGGCCCAGGTGATCTGACCCCAATAACACCACAACCCCCGCCCTGCCCCACTCCCCACGCCCGCCACTAAGATCGGAACATGCCGGCCCCTTTCAGTTCCTGAAACCATTCCGGACCGGCTGTTCCTGGTTCCTGAGACTCTCTTCGCCCTCGCTCCACCCCGTGACTACAACTCCTCCTCCCCCCAGGACTGGTCTGGCGGCCCCCTCGGAGAGGCACGAATCAACACCTTCACCGCTCCCTCCTCAGCAGCTCACGTCGCGGGAAGGGGGCTCTGACTCCCGCTCCTCCTCCTCCTCCTCCTGACCCACAGCACAGCGACTTCGCGCTCCGAAGGACCAAGTCCACGTCTGCTCTTCTCCAAACTGGCTCGCCAGTGGGGAAACGGCCAAGGCGCGGATATGACCCGGCCCCCCTCAGCTCTCCACCTCCAAGCGGCCTGTCTCTGCGGGCACCTCCTCTCCTCCTGCACTGCCCTGCCGGACAGCGGGCTCCCAGCAGGCCTGCCTGTGACTGGGCACGCACGCTCAGCGCACTGAGGGAGAAGTCAGAAGCCCACCGGGTGGCCTGCCCACGCAGCCTCCGCAGCAGCCGTATAGTAACAAGGTGCAGGCTTTTACCGCTATGTGACTCCAACATCCACTCGGGGACAGGCGGGCAGGGTTCATCAGGGCCCTGCAGACCCCAACAATCACGTACTGTTAGCACATCTTTACGTACAACCCAGGAGAGTGGTTAAATATCCCCAAGGCTTTGGGATTCGACTACCTGGGTTTTCAGTCCAGTTCTGCCACTAGCAGCTGTAGAGGCTGGAAGAACTTAATTAACTTCTTCCAACCTCATATATGAAATGAAGGTAATGTTTATATCTAATCTATGGGCCATCTGTTAGGATTAAAGGTGATAACTTTTATGGCGGATTTGGGCAAGAGTTGATTTGTGGTCAAGCTCAAGTATTAAATAATACTTGAAGCCCGGCGTGGTGGCGCACACCTGTAATCGCAGCACTTGAGAGGCTGAGGCAGGAGGATCCTTGCGAGTTTGAGACCAGCCTGGGCTACAAAGTGAGCTCAAGGCCAGCCTGAACTGCATAGCAAGACCCTGTCTCAAACAAAACAAAACAATAATACTTGAGTTTTTTACCTTTCTACCTGGCTTTCTGCCTTTCCTGCTCATCCCAAGCAGCTTGAGGGCAGCAAGTTTACTTGTTTTATTGACTGCTGTAGTACAGCACTGCAATACTGCCCAGCCTGTGGTACATTCACAAAAGCTAATAACGCAGCTATTTCAAAACAAGAAAAAAAAACTCACCA